CAATCACGTTGAATGTATAGACTCTATAAAGTGAGATCAAATTTACTTGATTGACGTTCTGCCTGCAAATTGTACAATCTGACAGTTTTGACGACAAAACTTTGTCCTGCTCGGAGGCAGGACGACGGCACCTTTGAAGTTTGGTACCGCTTCACAAAATTTAGGTAGGAAGAAAAACACTGTGCGCACTTGGAGAACGGAACAGATGACAAATATTTTTGCGAAATAAACAAAACTTCGCTAGTGCGTCCGGGCCCTAAAAATCGTAACCATTCAATAAGTTACGTCAAGGGTATGGAATATGATAGATGATTGATATATAGACAGCCTCGCGCCAGGAGATTTAGGTTTGTGCGGTTTTTCATTCGCGCGTTATTCGGAAAAGTGTTTCACCCAAATTTTTAGAGCTTTGTATGGAGACGTGACAGAAACAGCTGTCATTGAGTCTTAATATATATTGAAACGAAAAGTTATTATTCTAGAGCTCCGACACACATCTCGGCCGCCATTTTTATGACACACAACGCAAAAACTTGGAAATTCAAACGTTCTCTATAACAAAATGAGGAACCCTGTCGAACTTAAATGTTTTAAAACGTCAAGTTTTTAGAGGGTCCTACATCCAATGAAACTAAAACTTCAAAAGGATTGTGGAAAATTATGACGTCATATGAAAACCGGCAATATTCTTTAAAAACCTTATCTTGGGTATCTTTTCCTTGTAACTCTTAAATTTTCAGAACGTCTTAGCTTTTCCCACAACCCTACTTCAGAGCGGAAAAACGTAATAAACATGCGCGTGTTCTGGCCTCGCGCCAGGCTCCAAGTTTGAAAAAATGGTGAGAATTTCGTCCATCGTATAAACAAAAAAAGTTATGAACTTTATATGCTTTCATAACATTTCCGGTAAGGAGCAACATTTTCACGTCACTCATTGAGAGCTGGAGTATTATTTTCATGGGGAATAAATTTTTTACGGACAAATTAACCAAATTGACAAAGGTTTCTGAGCCCTTTATTTCCCCGCTGTATACAAGACATTTCGGTGCGAAGACACATTTATTCCACGAACACTCTTTACATATTGCATCCATATATGAACACCACTAAATTAATAAGAAAGAGAGCCTCTGGACAGGCAGGGGGAGTCTCGTTTTCTTAACAGTGAGAAGTCGAAAAAAAATTCATGCTTATCCAAGTATAAATAAATCAACCGAGCGACATCCTTATGTACCTTATTATAGTCGGTCATTATTTCCACCATTGCAGCCTGCATTATTTCCTGAGCCCGGAAGTAGAGATGGGGATGTGTAGAAAGCTGTGCAGTACGTTTTTCCGCTCCGAACGCCCTTACTCTAATTTTTGTCGTGTTTGCCAAACACGACAAAAATTACAGTGTGCCTTCTCTCCTGTAAAGCAAGATGGCGTTAGAAACCATGAAAAGGTCTATTATGATTTTTTCTTTAATTATAATCACTAAGGGCCAGTTCAACTAATGCAATATATCATGTCATTATTATCGAGGCATTACATTACGCAATAAAACAAAGTCGTTTGTAGTAACATGGTGTTATTTTTTTGCATTCCTAATGCATACTTTTGACCGTTGTTAGCTGGGCAAGCTCCCGTAAAACGGCTAGCTATAGCTATTTCTTATACACCTCTACTGGCCGCTTGCGAGAACCACTGTCGTGAATGGCTCACTCCCGGGGGCCTACTCCAGTAAGGAGTCCCGCGGGTGTCCGTTAACAAGGCTTCCACGTAGTTATTTCACGGTCAACAAAAGATAAAATTCTTCTCCAGGGTCGTTCGGACGTTGAATCTCAAGACCCCGGTAAAGTTGGTGTAGGTGTAAATGTTTCTGTCCAAACTCAAAATATATCACCTCATTCAAACATTTTAGGAAAAAAGAGGAAGCAAGAAAGAGTGTGAAAAAGTTACGGAGGACCCTCAAAGGCAAATCACAAGCGCTTGTTCTGGCATTTGACCTTGAAGTCTACGAGCACGATCACAATATCATTCTGGAGATCGGCTATGCAATGACCACATTAGACAACCCGGAAGATGATCTACAAATGTTTCATTACATCATCAAAGAAAACCTTAGGTACGAAAACGGAGATTGTGTTCCTGACAACAGAGACCACTTCATGTTTGGTACCTCTAAGCGCATGTCTCTCAAGAGGGCCGCTGCAAAGATTCAAAAACACATCGACGAGGCAGATTTCTTAGTTGCTCATTCTGCGGCTCACGATGAAGAGTTCCTGGCCAACTGTGGTGTTTCCGTGTCAGAGAAACGCATGTTTGATACTCAGGTCCTCGCCATGGCCTTACTGCCTGACGGCCCACCGCTGTACAGTCTCAAACGGTTGTTAACTGATTTGGAAATTCCGTTTGATGAAGACGTTCTTCACAATGGCGGTAATGACGCGTACTATACAATGGAAGTATTTCTCGCCCTTACAGAGTTCTAGAAGCAGGATTCTGGCGTCCATTGGACTTTGTAGGCCTCTTGTCAACTACTTAATTGGAGACGATTTTCCCTCTCCCTTCCCTGAATATTTGGGATCTTTTACAATGATATTAAAACAGTGATTCCATTAAAAAAATAATTTGTATTTTATAGGATACTATAAATTGGCATTTTATAGGAAGTAAAAATTAACTAGATTTTCGTTTTTATATCGCTTAAAGAAGTAGCTCTAACTAAATACATATATTATATATATAACTGAAAATTTGACGTCACTGCTCACGTTGTTGCAGATACGCTGTATTTGGTGAGTTTTCATCTTTGTACGATTTATATGTTTTGCTACAGCCCTGAGAGCTATATATGGTCACTTTCAGTTCAGTGAGATTTTATGGCTGTAAAATCAAGTTCTCGAATAAAATTTGTCGAATAGTTTACATGTAACTGTACAGGCCGCAAAGAGTAAGAAACCAGGTCACGTGACCTCATCAGTCTCTGTATTCGAGTAACCAAACTATATATTTGTGGAGATCTTTGTATCACAATTTATCGAAAGACGCTGATCGTCTCTTGAATTTATCGATTTAAAAGTACAACACCTAGTGAAAATATGTAGTAAGAACAGACATGTGACATAACAGATATGACATAACATCTTTATTTACATTTTGTATCTTACAAATGCAAAATTTGAACGAAGTAAAACTATATACGAGCTTCTATCAATCTGGCAAGTTAATTACACCTCGAAGCTTGTGAGAATGTACAATGCACGCTTGATCCTTCAACCCCCAAGTAATCAAAATCTATTTTCTCGTTGTATTGCCAAGACAACTGTCAGGTGATGAGAATACATACACTAATCAACTGGGAGATATTGTGTTGATGCACGGCCAAATTCTCCGAACCAATGCTAATTTAAACGTGTGACACCCAACGACAGGAATTGGTATTTTCAGCTTGGGACTTACTGAAAGACTTCAGCATGATTTAACATTCCGCCTTCTTCTAATCCAAAACATCATTTACACGTAGAATACGGCCATCAAAGATGAAGCCTCCAAGAAATAATATATACCTTTTCTACCCGCTGAAAAATCCCGTTCTCGAAGAGTTCCTCTTTAACACATATCATTGAAACTTAGTTAATCTGACGGACCTGCCATACGAAACCTTAACTGCTACCGTCTCTCTGAAATAAATCTTTACGCTCAGTTTTTACAAAGGTTACTCTTACAATGCCAGCCACTATTTTAAATTGGTATCCACTCAATCGATATTTCTAGCATCAAATAAGTTCACTTTCCCTAATATTTGGCGACGTACATTTTTTAAATTAAACAAGGTGTTACGTTATTCCATTTTTACTTTTATGATCCATGAAGTACAGCACGGCGCAAAGATGATGATATAGTCGTGACGTCCATGTTTGCTGACGTCGTTGTTTACATCTTGTAGTAACGTGATAAAAAAGCAAAAATAAATAAAACCAAAAATAATAAAAAATAAAAAGGCATCAAAACCAGAAAAAAATGCAAACAGTTTACTATAGTTACTGGACGAAGTTTGAAAGAAAATAAGTTGCACTTTGCTCCAAACTTTGCATTTAAAATTTGGAACATTGACATGCGTCAGTGAATTCGACGCATTTCTAAAAGTAATATTCTGTACGGGTCCTGTACAATAACCAACTTATTCCTCTTACACTTGTTACAATTACTCGATGACCCAGTCACGTAGACAGATGATGTCCTTTTTTCTCATAGATCCATGTGAATGGAAAGATCAGTGACCAGCAACGCGGTCACTATGCAATAATTTTCTTTCCATGCCATGTGTAATCACTTCTATTTGAATATGTGGATAAGAATAAAGAACGCTTGCTAAATCATAAATCTGAAAGGAAATCTGTAATATATTATATTTATTTATATGGAAGGTTATGCTTTGTTTTTTTGGCATCTCTTGGTTTGTAGTTAATCCATCGGAGTCAAAACTTCTTCTTCATGCTCTGTGTGAGGGAGAGCTCCTTGACCCTTGAGGAAGATAATGAGAAATTAAAGGGAACATTACTCATTAAGAAACGCTCAAAACATTCGCGCACAAATTCACAAGCTGGGCAGAATAGCACTCCGGTTTGACAGAAACCTACGTTTAAGGGTTAAGTATTTATTGAGTACTTGCAAGTGTAACTTGTTAAAGAATGAACTGACCAGTGGGAATCAAAACGATTAGCATTCAGTTGTTGTTAAGGCTAGCCCTATACGACGCTTAAAAATTGCAGGCTTGACAGTAATACAATCAGGACGGTGTTATAGTAGTGCGGGAACTGATCTCTCTAGTGGAAGGGTTCCAAGTTCGAATTCCAGAAATGTTAACATATAAGATACATCTCATGTAAAATAAAGCAAGTTAGGACGCATTCAAAATACGTATTGCAAAACTCACAGCGCATTACGTCAAAATTAAGCTTTATTTTCAAAGAGAGATAATATTTTTCTTTTTTTCTTTTTTAATCTAAGATAAGAATTCACGAAATCTTCCTTTCATCGTTCACAAAAAAGAAGTATCAGTGTCATATAATCATAGGGGTATGGTGATTCTTGTAAGCTTCACTGATAGGTTCAGCCAATGTGGCCTGACACAAGTTTGGATCACAGAACAGGGGGAAAGAGGTTTGTTTTTTCTTAGAAAACCATATTTATCCTACCGTAGTACGCCCAGTTCCACCCGGATCAATTTCGTCGTTTTCTCCGCCTCCGTCAGGGGATGGCCTCGGGGCCGCTGGAGTAAACAACTTTGTCTGAACGTCCTGTGACAAGCAAACAAAAATATCAAACCTGAGGTCAGAAAATACTTTTTTCTGTAATTCTTTCATTTGATTGTCTCCGGCACTACTTCTGACCAAAAATCGTCAACTTCCCTTGCTGAACAAAAAAACAGACAAGGAGACCACGCCTATTCCCATTACACCCTGCGCAGACAGGAAAACTCGCGTCCAATCTTCCCGCAACCAACAACAATACAAATAAAGACAACATAGAACTGTATAAGCTAATTTCATCTTATTTTCTGTAGTTTAAAGTCTAGGCAAGATCTAGTTTAAAAAATGAAGTGTACTCATTCAAGCCTTTATTCCCCAACTAAAAATAAAATGAAGTGACACAAAACAAAATATTAAAACGAAATACTGAAATAACGACATCGTAAGCTTCTACGCAAGCTATCAATGAGTGCTAAGAGATGGCGCGAATGCATCAGATATTTTTTACGTAAAGTGCGCCAATTTCTCAAAAAAGGCATCATCTATTGTTTTGTGATACGCTCAGTGCTACTACCTCTCGGATTCTTTGCTGTTTCTGTAACGCTTTCTGATTCTCATTCTGAGGAGGAGATGGTGAGGGGATTGGAGCGGGTGGTGATTCGGAGCTGTGAAGTTTCACTATGTGTCTAATCCGTGTTCTCGGGGATGTATTGTGTGACTGTGCCTCTCGCGGACTCTGTCTTAGTTCCCTGGAGGTTTCCTCCGCTGCCTGTTTGCAAGGTAAAAACCAAAACAAAACAAAATGACACTTAAAATGTGGAGGGACACTCACAGAAATGCATCATTCAAAGAAACAAATATGTTACGGGACAACGAGCAGTCCAATTTGGAAATAATTCGAGAAAAAGAATTCTGAGGAGAATCAAAATCGGACCTGGTCGAAGAACCAGTCCACTTTGGCAATCTGAGGAATATCTGGAATTCAGTAAAGTCCAAATTGGACTGGTCTGTAAGCGTATTACTTGTTAATTAAATAGCGCTCGGAACTGTTTAAATTATTAAAATAAATGTTGATTTGGACACCTATCCAAATATTATTATATAGAGTATAAAAGTAACAAAATTCTAAAAAGCAACAGTAAGTCAAGACCAAAATTATCTCGTTTTGGGCGAGAAAAGATGCCGTGAACATTTCACCTTAAACAAACTCTACAAGTTCTTAATAGTTACTCTCACTGACTGAAGATAAATGTTCTCTTCGTTGCTTGGTCTTGATTTATGATATTTGTTACTAATAGAGTATCATACATGTATGCTAACAGCAAAACAATATTCGATGGTTTGTTCTCCTTACCTGTCCCACTGCTGTGTTCCGGGGCGAGTTGGGGCCTGAGTTCGAGCGTGATGACGTCAGTTGTGAGTCCTCCTTGGCAAAGGATGTAAATTCATGTTCGTGCGGGGGAGACTGGGACGAACTCTTAGCGATAGGTGGGATGGTCTGCAAGAAACGGACACATCAACTTCATCAGATTTCCTCTCACAAATTAGTCAAGACACTATTAGCTTCACATCAATTCGTGGCTAATGTGAAAAATTGCGCAGGACAAAGTGTGTAAATTAAGTCGTTGAAGAGTCTGACTTTTAGTAGTTCTGTCCCATGTTGCCACGACAACGGGTGACGCTGAAATATCGCAGACCCTTTGGAAGTCTACAGTTTGGACAGTTTGGTGCAGAAGTTCCAACATACCTGTCTGAAGCGTCCTTTGTAAAGATGACCATCTGATCCTTTGAGCATGTCAAGAACGGATAACTCTCTCCCCCAGTTTGGAACGTCCGGTGCTTCATCGCGCGCTGAAAAATACAGTGGAAATCTCAAAGTTAAATTCGAAAGCCATATCCTTTATTCAAAAACATATAGGTAAGAGAAGGTTTCACGATTCTCACACTTTCCGGAGAAACTTTCCCAGGAAATTTTCGTACCATTTTCAGAGAGGGGAATTCTATTTAATTCTCCAAACAGTCAGAGGCCCCACATACCTGCCAACACTTGATTGAGCTGGGTGGTTTTGGAGCGTCTTTTTGGATGATACATCACTGTGTGACTCCCCCCACATGGCCGACCAGTGATTATGTCATTTAACGTTTTCTCCGCTTTACCACCGCTATAGTGACCGCGTTGGTACTGGCGAATCTACAAAACATTAAGGTCAGGAAATTACATTGTAAACGGAATTTTGAAAATCCGCGCTTAGTATCATAGCAGCTAACGCAACCACCACGGACTCACCACGGAAAACACAACACCAGAGATGACGGCTTAAAGGGACACTATCTCGGCAATTTTGTTGTATTTTGGTTGAAACAGTGGTACAAACCATGACTGAGTACCTTCGCTCATAGATAATGAGTGCATTGTTGATGGGAGAGCAAATTGTAATCAGGTTTTGGGAATGATTTTTCCAGGACACGACAACAGAATTGAAAAATTCTGCCAGACTGTTTCAATTGACTACATCACAACTCTTTGTAAACGCACCACCCATTACAACATTCTTTTTACAACTTCAGCGCATATATGTCTACCAGTAATTTTCAACGAAGCTAGACCCGGAATGATTATGTATCAAGGGTCACGACTTTTCAACGTCATAATTCGGGGTAGTATCCCTTAAAAAAATCAAATAATTTACATTTGAAAAAGCGGCTATCAATTGTCTCAATCCATTCAGGTTGTGAAGAAGTGAAGAGTTCTAACCTGGTCCATTTCATAGGACAAATAAGGGCCCTTAGACCTCTTTGTTCGGACCCCTCTTGGGGCTGGCAGGTTGCTCTGGAGGGGCCCTCTCAGAGGGAGTTCTACGGGTCTACTGCACGAGATACAATTAAACTTGATCGGTTTGCGGAATCCAGCTGCGTCAGAAAAGTCCACTTTTGTCTCTGCAGCAATCAGGTTCCTGGATTTCTGCACATCAGCTATACGTCGCTCTGAAACGGACAGTAGAAAAATATTAGCACACATAACATTTGTTCTCAGTTTGCGAGCGGGCGGAATTCAACAAATCCTGAATCTGATTGGTTCAGGAAGCGAGTGGAATTTTCCCGTCTGCCCCGCTCACGGCAGGTGGAATCGTCCTTTGCCTTTTTTTTCACTTCCGTCGACGTTTAATCTCTGTTCAATCTTAAATGGCAAGGAAAGTCAATTCAAGTAAATTCAATTGAGTGTTTCAAATTACAGTTAGAAGACACAGTTGGCCTAAAACAATAGAGAGAAAAAGGACAAATGAACGAGGAAAATAATAGAAACAATAGTTTTCTTGCCCTTTTGTCCTTTAGTTCTCTGTTTTAGGCCCATTGTATCTTCTACACCAAGTAAGAGTCCAAAATATCTCCATCCTGTAACTATTCGTCAATGTCTGACCCCTACCTAGATAGTTCTTGAGTGCCTGGAAAGCTTGTCCATCCATTTTCTCTGACATGTCAACAGAGAGTTGCTTCAGTGCTTGTTTCAAAGCCATTTCTTCGTTCATGTAATCATCCATTTTCTGTAAGGCTTCCCTTAGTCCCTCATCAAGCATGCTAAATGTGTTGTCAAATGTTGATACATTCACTTTGCTATCCAAGGCGGCTTTGTCAGCCTTAATGTTCATTTCCATAGCAACATTTTCTTTATCTGCTTTACTTTCTTGGAGTTTCTCCACGTAACTGTACAGTGCTTCAATATGCTCCTACGATAAAATGCACAAGAATGCAACTGCAAGTCAGATCCTCTCTAGTATAGTCAAATGAGCTACGTCACAGTTTGAACATCTTGACAAGTTTAGCTTAAAGTTTTTGAAGTTTGTCGTTTTTAATCCGTGTTAATCTTCATTATCCTTGACCATCCTTGTTCCTTTATGGTTCATTATCTCTTTAATTAGTGTTTTTCTATTTTGGTAAACTACTATTTTCATGTTTCCTTCAATTTAAGGGAATTTTGTATGGGGCCAAAATACCTCAAAATACCGTGAATGAGTTTACTTAACCAACAAACACTAACAAATTATGAAGGTATTCTGTTCTACTACGAGATACACTGTGGAGTTCATGAATACTGAAAAAGACAAACTAGTTGAAAAGTGTAAAATGTAATTCTCAAGATTCATGTTGTTATGTGTATAAATTTTACTACTTGTCTCTATTGGTGTTTTTCTACCTTCAGATGGTAAACTAAATTATACTTGTAAGTAGTCTTGCAACTATATCTAATTCAAAGAAGACTGTACACAGAAGTTAAAATGACTTATGCCATACTAGTACATATCATGCACAAATCGTGGCCTTCACTCCTCATTTCAGTTTATAAATACTTTGTAACTTCTTGTTTTGCAAGGGATTTGTTGTTACTTAATTCTCTCAACAGTCATTGTCAGTGGCAGATCCAGACCTTGAGCTAAANCGGGGGGATTGCTTGTCCTGCTGGCTTTTCTTCCTTCTGCAATTTTTTTACTCAAAACAAGGACAGGGGCGGCCCCCTAGATCCACCACTGATTGTTCATCTAAAGTTATGAAACTTTGCAGCCATACATGTACGAATCATGTACAAATTTTGGCCTTCACTTTTCACTTGGGTTTATAAATACTGTCTACTTTCTTGTTATGCCAGGGATTTGTCGTAAGTTACTTTTAATTATGATTTACCTGTTTTCTAGCAAGGTCGTTCACTACCTCAGAATGCTGTCTGTCTGCTGTTACAGCAAGTTTTTCTTGTTCTGTTTGCAGATCAGTCAAGTGTTCTCGTACAGCATCCAACACACTGCTGTCTATAACAGGTGACTGGGCAACCACTCCTGTAAAAGCTGGTTTGTTTTGCCGAGCAAGAATGGCAAGTTCACGCTTAAGTGCTTCAATATGCTCCTTGTTGTTCAAAGCCATTTTCTTGATTTCTGCTAGAGCAACCAAGTCTTGATTTGTATTTAGGAATTCCAAACCTACATCAGGCACAGAGAGTGACACTGAATAAAAATGCACTAATTTAATTTAACATTTAAAGTAATATATCAAACATGAATGACTGTATTTAACAACAATACTAAACAACAAGAAGAGAGTTGAAAATATGATGTCTAGTGGAGTGTTTTTGACGAGCTCTTAGGCATTTGGAAATGTGGTCGCACACTAAGCTTATGTGTTTGATATATCTCAAATGAAACTAAATGAATTACTAAATATAAAACAGAGAATAAAAAGATCATAAAAATATATGCTAATAAAGATCAGATATCCAAACACCATCACAGTCATGATTTTAAACTTGATGAATTATTAAATAAGTGTGAGAAAGTGAAATCAAAATGACTGCTCAACAAAAAAAAACATGATTTATATTTGCAATCTAAGAACATGGAAATAATAAGAAGAACACAGTCAAATAGATTGTTGTTAACATATTAATATTGGGACCTGAAAATCAGCTTTCCCATTACAAGAATTTGCACATACCTTGTTTCAACATGGCCAGTTGATCTTGGAGGTCATCAGGAATGTTCAAATCTTCCCTGCTGACTTTCAGTGACAGAGCCTGTTCTACTTTGGCCAACTCTCCAGCTGTTTCCTGTTGTGATTCAATCACACTAGCTACGTTTTTCTCCACTATGCTATGTTTATCTGACAGCTCTCCAATCTGCCTCAGACATTCCACCATTTCTTGAGAGGGATGGTCTTCAGCAGACAATTCTAGAATGTTTACCTAAGTAAAGAATAGATTCTCATTAACAATCATCATGATAATATTATTTGTAAAACTTGTCATTGTAAGTTGTCTGGCACCTCCTGTTTCATTTCTTTTCCCTATGGTACAAGTAATGGCTGCAGCAATTCTCCATTGGATCTCTAGTGTACGTCTACAGTAACAAAAATGATGGGGTATGGCAAGTCTGCAATGGATGCTCCTGTTTGTACCAAGTAGACGTACTTGCTTTACTTGTGTACAAGCTGCTGGCCATTAAGTACCAATGTGATTAAATATTAGCTTACAATGGACATATTATTACAATGTACAGAACTGTACGCCTGCGTTGCGTAGAGAAGGCCATATCTATAGCTGTATCCCTTTTACAACTATTAAATGAATGAATGGTAATTGATAATTATTTTATGCAATGACCCTGAGAATAAGAGCTCCCACATAAAAATAACACGGGTAAAAACAAGGACTTTCGAAACTAATCTGGCCCATATCTTGTGGTCACAGATCAAACTCATTTGGCACCATTGGAGTTACTATTTCTTTCTGACAAAGCTGTTCCAATCATCAATTTTTTTTCCAGCTTAGGTAATGGAACTAGTCATTTTCGATTTTCACACTAAGCAGTAAAAAATGACAACTTTAAACATCTATTCACGTTTTAGCTTATTGACTAAATCCACTCAAAGAGCACCTTTGAGCCCTAAGTATAATGTAAAACAAAATGAAATGGGCTCCAACCTGCGCACTGCTTGCGAAAGCTGTCTTAGGGATCTCAGGTGTTGGAACTGGTGTCTGCAAGGTTGACGGCAGTGGAGCAGTCTGCGGGCGTCCATCTGACTCGGTATCAGAAGCTTTATTTTCGCTACTGACATGATCATTTGATGCTTTTTGAAGTAACAAATTGCTCTCCCCTTTGTATCCCTCCTTGTGTCTCTGTTCAAGGTCAGTTTTCTTTACATTCAATGCGTCTTCCAGGGCAGGCCATTTCACATACACTGACAAGTCATCCTTTGTCACAAATCTTTCCTGGAGCTGTTTTTCGAGGGAATTTAATCGCTGCTGCTGTGATGCATCGCTATCACCAGCTGCCCCTTGTGACAAATTCTGTCCCAGGTTATTGTCATCTGTTTTCTGACTGAGCAATGTTTCTTTGAGATTCTTTAGTTCACTGGCAATATCGTCCACTTCACTTCTGACTCCACTTATAATTTTTCCATCACTTCCAAGAAATTCATTCAAGATTGTCATTACTCTGTCAATAGCCTCTTCAGTGGCCTGAAGTCGCCTGTTGAACTTCATCAACTGCCACATTCCAGAGAGCACATTTTGATTAGATGGATCATCTTGGGTTGTATCGTTCTTCTGTTGTGCCTGGTCTATGATAAACTGATTGGAAGGTAGATTGTCAAGAATCTTTAATCTTTCCTCCAGTTCTTGAACTTTATTCTCAAGGTTCTGTTGCCTTGTCTGTAAACTGAAATCAAAGATTGTATACTGAGATCTCTCCTTATTGTGTATTTCTCTCTGTCTCAAAGTCTTGGATTTTGGCTGATATGGATTTTACCATCATCATCCTGTAAAGTATTTTATCCAAGAGTACACCACAAAAGGATCTGCGTCAGTCTACATGATTTTTACTAGACCCCTGATTTAGAGCACAACACAGCAACCATTTGGCAACTGTACCAGTAAAAATGTGATCCAACGATTTTCAAGAGGCAAATTTTCTGAGTTGCCAAAAAATCAAAATCCAGAAGTTGCTGTACAATTTACCTTCTCAGCACCCCCTCAAACCCCCCCCCCCTGCCAAAATAAAAGTTGTTTATAGCTCCACTGATTTAGCTATGGAGATGCATGATCAAATATCCAAAAAGTTTCCTGAAAAAGGTTGACGATCAGTCAGAAATAAGTGTCTGAGGAAAACGTCCTTTACTGGTGGTCTGCACAGGAGACCTGGAGATTTGTCCTGTATTTTAGACGACTCCTGGATTATCCAGAAGGGTTCACATCTAGTACATGATTTGCTATCCACACGTACATATCGGGAAACTTTTTCTTTACAATAAATGTAAGGTTGGAGAGGTTTTGAGAGGGTTTCAAATTTCAAATTGAATAATTCCTTCTAATCAACCAACATTAATAGCCTTCAAAATTCTGGCATTATACAGTATCCATACCAAAAAGACTTCCGTCTTTTGTCAGTATTTATCACTGTGACAGTCCTAAAACATAATATTACTCATTAATAAAATTTACATTTTCCTATCTGAATAATGCAAAGAAGAGACTTGTTCTGCTACTTTAAATCTAAAACTAGACATTCAGAAACAGAGAACTTGTGACAACAACAATGTCCAGTGTGGGTTATAGACGAATGACTGCATTATAATTTCAAATAAAATTAGTTTCATTTACATTTGTGACAAAGATCTACAGTCTCAATCTTTGTCACTTGATAAAAAGTTATTCTCATTTTTTACATAAAGTGCTTCTCAATTTTGGCTTTCTGACTAATGAAACATTTTTTATGAGTCCCCCACAAGACAACTTCTGCACAGTTTTAATGCTTTTAAATGGAGAAAATATTCTCATGTCACCTGTCTCTTACAGTTAGCCCTTTGATTGGCTACAAAGTTTGTATATTGCAAAAGTAGGACATCAAAAGAATACATTAAAAATTAATTAAAAAACAATGGTGTGCAGAGTGTTACAATATATATTGTCACCATTCTCAATTGCATACTAATAAGGTAAACTTGTGTAATTCTACAAAATTGAATCAATTTGAAACCTCGAAACACTCATTTCAACCTCGAACTCCTCCAAAACAGATGCCAAATTCTCACCAAAAATATTAAACAGTGAACTCTGTTCAGAACTAACGTTAGGAAGAAACATTTTTATCGCAAATACAACGAACAGTCAAATGGCTAATAAAATGAATCATTCAGGGCAATGTAAACTTTTAATTTTAATTTGCTCTGTTTCCACAGCGACGTGCACTTCAAACCGTCAACACATCCAGAGTTCGCGAATATTTTGTTGAAATAGCGTTCAAGATTGTTACTCAAACATTTTATGCCATAAACTTTATAAGCCCAAGCTGAAGTAACATTATTAGGCTCGTTATTTTAAAATAGAGATTCGAGCGGTACAACCCTCCGGCCATGACAAATGCCTCGGATTTCGGTCGCTTATCGTAATTGTTGATGTTGAATACAGCATGTAATTAGTCGAAATCCGCTATTTATGTAGCATTTTCCCGCAGATGCAAAGGGCAGAATTCGTTCTCAATCAAAAGAAGTCTTTGAAAAGACTGCTCTACTCATCAGAAGTCATTTTAGCATTCTAACTTTAGAAACATCATTAAAACGATAGCCGACAGTATCTGAATAATTTATAACATTCACCATCTAATCTGTCAAAAGGACACCACTAAAACACAGCCCGTTAAAAATAAACACAGCACATTTCTTGTGTTGCACGTAACTACATGGTTCGCTAATGAATTAAGCTTAAACTTATATAAAAAGACTTACAAGTTTAGCTGTTGTACTGCGAGTGTACTTTTTACAAACCATAGTGCTAGAGGGTGTCACATAAACACCATTTTAACAGCTTAGGCTATTTACATGTTCGAACAACTGAAGTATAATAAAATCTATCGCAAACAAAGAGATTACCAAACCTGTCGAAGTTGCTTCTTTGGTCAGGATAAGAACCGAGATGATCAGAAATGACGAGGGGATTGTCGTCTCGACTAGAGAGATCGACTTCTGAAACCGGTTTATCCTTTACATTTGACTGCTCAAATGAAGTGCTTTTGTCACTTGCTTCATCAGCTAGCTGAGCTGCTTGAAGATTTAGCACTCCGCCAAGCGGTTCGATGTGGTTCAAAATGGCGTGCAGAAGCGTGTGAAGATGATTGAAGTTCACGACACCCGCGTCCGGAGAGCGTAACGCCAAATCCACTAGCCTGTGTAACTCCGTAGCGGCACCCATGTTATGCTTTTCACATCTTATGCTTTGTATTACACAACATCACTTCTTTTGTTATGAATAATGCAACAGAACAACCCTCCAGCCGGATCCAGGAAATGTAGCAATTATGTTACACAGCAGGGGGGGTACTAAGGGGGAGTTTCAAAGTTTCGCGGGAAGCGCGCGAGGTGGCAGGGTGCACTTCGCGAGTTATGAGAACTGCTCGATTTAGGAAGACTAAACTTTTACAAACTGGTCTCACAACAGCTCGATATAATTAATAATTTATTCTAGTAAATCAAAAGAACTTTGTAGCAAATCCAAACTATATGATAAGTCGATTAACAAGTGCTGAACGATTCAGAGGCAAAGATCTCCAATCTATAAACCCTAATTTCGTTTCCGCAGGGCACAGAATACGAAGCCATGGGATGTGACTTTCCCTAGTGAATCTGTAAAATCTCAAGACAAGGCAGGAAAGCTAGGGTAAAAACTGCTAACTAGTAAATGAATCTAAAAGAATTACTTTAATGAGTATATGACAGAATTTGATAAAAAGAACAAGAGCTGTACGCGTCCGCAATTGATCCCCTGACCGCAAATGATCCCCAAATTGAACCGCAAATGATCCGATCCCGAACCGGAAATGATCCCCATATTGAACCGCAAATGATCCCGACCAAAAATAAAGAATGGCATGGATTTATATCAGAGGAAGGGTAAAACATATATAAAAATTACAAACTAAGAAACATGTTTTATGATTTTACAAGAAACATTCCACAGCTGCTTTTTTGTTCTTCGAAGGGTATTGTCTTAGAAAAACCCATGCCTGTAAACATCCTCAAACATACATGAAACGGGAGTTAATGTCATCTATCCAGCTAATTGTCAAAACGAAGCGCAAGCCACTGGAGGTATGGCCTTGCTTGGGCATGAAGCTGAACTTCATAACTATAGCTTGGAGCTAGAGGCTTCTTAAAATATTCAACTAGCCATTCCCGAGGAATTAAAGGAAAAATAGTTCTACACACAAGGTGTTTTACAGAGTAATGAAGCGTTGTAGGTCTACTCAGATGACAGCGTCTTCTGTAATCGTTGTTTCATGGTTAGATTAACCCCGTCAGAATGGCTGATGAAATTTGATTTAACTATAACACCGAAATATCATGGTTAGATTAACCCCGTCAGAATGGCTGATGAAATTTGATTTAACTATAACACCGAAATATCAATGTTTAGCAAAGGAGGATATGTAGCGTATGTTGTATTGAATCGAATCTGGTCATAATTTTACTGAGAATTGCAAAGAAATGCAAGCCAAGTCATGTTTTGATGATTGAGTGGTGCAATTCATACAGATCGCAGTTAGCAAAAAATTTAGTAGAAAGTGTGAAAAAAAGCAAGTTGTAGTCCATGATAATTATTTAAGACGGCTTTCAAAAAATCTCGGTATTCACGTACGCCAATTCCCATGCCATTCCTTTTTTTTTTGATCGGGATCATTTGCGGTCTAGTTTGAGGATCATTTGCGGTCCCGTACAGTGCTCCTCGAGGCCCCAATCAAATGTCACCTCGTAGAAAGTTAGAGCGAATATTGCACGGATATTGAGGACGAATAATCTAATTGTTCTAGTAGAATAGTAACTGAAATTTCGGCCTTCAAATAACAATTTCCAATATTTTTCTCCACGTAGTAGTAAATTTCACGCGCACTGAAGTCAAGTAAAGTCTGCAGTTGTCTACGGGCACAAATCGGTTTTTCTTTAACAGATTTGAGTTTTTATGGCAAGAAAATGTGAATTTCCTACTGCACCTTCAGCCACTGCACTCAAATGGCTGCTAGTGATCGATAGCTCAGCCAACCAGATTGCAGTATTTGCATTAGTACGCTAGTAGAATTCTACTAATCAGCATTAGTTCTTGGAAAATCGCCAGTCCAATTTTTTTGGTAAAGCATTAAGGCAAAGATTGCATTAACACAATTTGAGGGAAGTTGGAAAGTGTCCAGTCCCATTTTTCAATTCCCATGCATTTGCCTCAGTCTAATAGCTTTTTTTTCCCCGCCGACTTGAAACACGAGGCTGGGCGTTTTCTGGCATCCCTCAGATGCTGTCATTTGTACAGAAGTTAACTTTGCCTTTCATTAATTGTTCAGAATTCAACTTTCAAGAAAGTTATTTGCCATCGGATTCCTATACAAACACTAATTCTGAACGCTTGTTGTCTACCCGTCAAGTTAGCTTCCAAAGCCGAGGTAAGGTCTATTCAAATAACCCCCGTCCCCTTCCAGTTGGAAAATTAAGACGAAATCCGATAGGAAATCCAGAAATCCAGGTCTGAGGCGGCCTAGGCCTGGAACCGTCTAATAATCACTATAGCTCACTTAGTTTCCAGTCCGGTCGGTATGGCGCTGAGCACTTTGGGGCGACCGAAGTGGAGCGAGAGACTCACTCTTCAGAAATCTTTCCTCAGCTTTCGTTCTCCCTTCCCCCCTATCTATTTATATATTTTGAATTTTTCGTTCTACCACTCGATTAAGTTAAAGAACACTCAGAGAATTGAATTAGTCTTTAATTATTAAAAAAAAGTTGACAAAATGTTTTACGATACCAAAGGCTACCTGTGGAGTTACTCGCTGTTATCAATTTAATTCCCACACTGAGCTTCGTTTCTTTCTATAAATATAAAAGCCATTTGGAAAGCCTTTTATTGTCTACACATTCGCCTTGTGACGTTCAATTTTAATTAAAAAAAAAAAAACAACACTAACACCAACCATTTTTCGAGACACAAATTTAACTCGACAATAATAATCCCCCACGAAACTGGCAGACAAAATTGAAGTTTACGGTTTTTTCACCTTCTCTTTTTTATATATACGTAATAAATGTTCTACTGCGGTAAAATTCCATTTAATAATCAGATTCCTTTTTCAGCGTGTTAGATCTCACTTTGCCCAGAAACGAACACGAATCTCTGGACAAAACCTGCACGCCTCGTGCGAATGCAATTGACCCATGATCAGAGGTTCTTCGGTTTATATGAAATTCAATTTTCAATAGAGATGATTTCCGAAGGCCTTCCTCGCCGGTTTTTGGTTTGATTTTAAATTGGCGTTTGCAGTTATCAGTTTTGTCATGGGTTTAGAAAACCGTGCAACATAACTGACAGATTCTAACCACTCAGAGAATAGACATTTTATCCTATCTGCCAATCAGCTAAAAAGGTTGAAGCCAATCACTATGTGCACGTGACTTTTCCCGCGCTTTTCTTACTCACTGTATTGATTAAATTACCCTGATGTTTATATCAGATTGTATATGCCATTGGAAAACCATTCTATCATTTTGTACATCATCATAAAACAGTACAACGAAACCCTCCCCCACCCCTTCCTTCATTGCCTCCTCCTTCACCCACTCCTCCGTTCGATTGGCTAAGATCGTCTACTTCAGACTCGCGGGTAGACGTACTATGCTGAAAGGAAAACAAAAAAGACGACATTGAAAATGATAAACATGCTAAAGCACACACTACTCAGAAAAAACGTTAGCATAAAGAAAATTGGGCGAGGTAATAAAAAGCCACAGAGAGAAAATAAACCCTCACATAAAAGGTTTCTTCCCAATCCAACATAATTAGTAAGTTAATTACAACAGGCTATGGTCGATGGTCACCTCCTTGGCTATATTAGTGGTTGATCCTGAACATAACTTTGAAAAGTCAAACCCTAAAGAAAATAATTTCATCAACTGAAATACAAATATAATGGTGTGGTTTTGTTAAAAAAAAATACTTTAGTGCACTGAAGCCATAAAAGAGGTATATAATACGTCACATATGCACAAGGTTGTGATGTCAAACTGAAAAATTGTGGCAGAGATTTTATCGCCATGTCTTGGAAAAAGATTGCTGTCCACTGTCAGCAAAAATTGTTGAAAAGCATATGTTGAAATCTGATTGGTTAAGCTGTACAACATTTTGTTCACCTCCTATCGCAAGATGGCTATCAGGTTTCCTCCTTCGTAGTAGCAGTGCCCCAGGGGAAGGGAGGGGGGGGGGGGGGGGGGGGTGCAAAAGGTCTTAAACTCGGCCCTGACCCTATTTAAGGATGAAGGACACGAAAAATGGCGCCCTATTTAAGGCCAAAGCCCAAAAAATGACAACGTACTGAAGGGAAAAACAAAAACTAAAATCAACTTTATCTCGTTTCTGTAACATTGCTTTTCGTTTAGCTGGGCATTTATGCACTGCAATTTTACCTGACTTAATTTAGGTACCCTATCTAAGGATCACACCAGGAACACGATACCAACAGGGGCAAAAATGATGCCCTATTTAAGGACCAAGAACCTCAAAAACCCTACCCTATCCTATGGCACATACCCATATAGCCCATGTGTGGGAGTACCCCCCTCCCCCCTGGGGGCAGTGCCAAGACTTTGCAATACAATTCTGTATAGCATAAGGTCTTGTCATGCCAATGACATTTTAGATAAAAAATAAAACTGTTGACAGGGACTTCCCTTGCGAGAAAAATGTCTCCATGTCAATAGGGAATCTTAATTAGTTGCACCTAGTTTCAATGAAAGGGCAGATGCTTGTTTGTTTCAACAGGGTTCAGATAAGACTTCTACAATAGTGATGCAATGCTCTACTGAATGAGCTATGAACCAACTGGAAGCAGGGATACTGTACACAAGGTGAACTGCAGATATATAAATATATTTGTAAATTAAAAGGTCTTCTTCTAAGAATAATCTCACCATATCTAATTCAACATTTAAGATGCTTTCTGCCATTTTTTTGAATATCTGTTGAGACAAAAATGACCAAGAATAAAAATTGTTATCTTTGTTACCTACCCCTGAAAATATAATTAAAGAATTGAACCATTTGATTTACAGTTTTTTTTATGGAAAGACAAAAACAAAGTAACGAGAAAATCTGCGATAAATGGTTATGAAGGAGGAGGAATCAAAATGGTTGATATTGAGAGCATGATTAAATCTCACCGTCTCGCCTGGCTGAAAAGAATCTTTGGCGATAATTCTGGCGCATGGAAAAATCATTTAGAATATCTTCCAAAAGAAACAGGTGGTCTGGTTCTTTTTAATCGCAACTATGACGTCAAAGACTTAACTATCAGTTCTCAATTCTACATGGAGTTATCGAAATGGTGGTCTGAATTTCGGAAAGATAATGCAGTTGAAACTAATTGGCTTTACCGAATTTGGAATAACNTGCAACTATAACGTCAAAGACTTAACTATCAGTTCTCAATTCTACATGGAGTTACTGAAATGGTGGTCTGAATTTCGGAAAGATAATGCGGTTGAAACTAATTGGCTTTACCGAATTTGGAATAACCAGGAAATAAGAATAAACAACAAACCAGTCTTTTATAAAAGGTACTTCAATTATGGAATTCAGACAGTGGGAGACTTGTATTTCGATCTTAACAACATCGATTCTTATGAACTAATCACAAAACACATACAGAAGACAAACTTTCTGGAATGGACCGGTCTTTGTCACTCTGTACCGTTCGATTTAGGGAATGCTTATCATAATCCAGATCATACAGCCCTAAATCCATCTTTCAAAATTGACTGCCGCCTTTTTGATGTAACTAAAAAGATTTCAAAAGACTATTACTCTCTTTTTGTCCATGAAAAGGCTTGCTTTCCTAATAATGTGAGAAAATTAAAGTGTGAATTTAATTTAACCAATGAGGCACTGAAAAAGGCTTTTTCTCTTCCCCATTCGGTTGCTTTTGAGCCATATGTCAAGGCCTTTCAGTTCAAAATATTTAACTCTATACTCTACACGAATTCCAAATTACACAAAATCGGGTACATTGCAGATTANGAAAACAGTAGAATTAAAGAATTAAAGCAAAAGACTTAAAATATATCTCAGTCAACTAATAAGGGGCCAAATATTATTGCACAAAAATAAGGGTTTCTGGAATTTGTATGAAGTATCTTTCAGGCTCACTAAAAGTTGCCCAAAATTTTGGCCATTTTAGACGGCTTGAGAGGCCAAAATCATGATGTGGTGATATCTCAAAGAAAATCGAATGCCTACCTCAGCAAATATCATTATTGTTAATTCTTTCGGATAGCTTCTATACTGTGAAAAGATGATGGTAAACGGCCGACCTCGATCTTTTGGTCCTGCCCGGTTTTCTCTGACAATGACACTTAACCCCCTGAGTGCCCATATGATGTACCCAGGACATCATGACTTTTGTCCCTCAGGTGTCTGTATTTAGCGCTGGGAAAATGTGTACATGTTCCTAGTTTAAGTGAAAAAGCTTATGGCATGAAAGAAGATTCTTACTAGATACCAATTTTCAGTGAAAATGGTGTGGCATACAGCATACACAGTGGTCAGGCACTCAAAAGGTTAATCAAAGAACAAAAGAGTTTTTTACAAGGCTTGACTATTTAAGCACAATTCTAAAGGATTACATAAAGCTACATGTATTAAAAAGTCTTAGCTAAACATCATCACATACATTTCAGAAGGCTCAGTTATAACGGAATTGGCCTTTTACAACATTAATAACTTTGAAAACAATGGAGGTAGATAACAGTTTAACAAAAGACTATCACAGGTAGTAAGTACAGTTTAATGCTTATTGCAGTTATGATCCACAACAAAATAGCAGGTGTTTGTTACGGTTAATGAACTGCAACAGTAACCTGTAATGCAGAAATGCAAAACGAACTAAGACAAGTATATCTTGTGAAGTATATATGAAATAATTCGCACCTGTATCACAGAGGTCACGGGTTTGAATCCCATTGAAGCCCTGTTTTTTTTATCAGGCTTCTTTCCAATTGCTTCACCTGGAAAATTTACTGCGATGATCATTCTTCACTTACAAGTATATCTACGTTGTATTTCTATATTTTGTCAGGAAAGCAAATATGTAAAATATATAATAATATGATTTTCTCTCTTTACACTACAGCGTGAAAGCTGTAGTGGAATGTGCATCATGATGTTACCGGAAGTGATCTTCACTGTTTTGCCACCACACTACAGCCTAGCCAAACCATATCTTAAAGTCCCTATTCACTTGAAAACGGAAAGACAGTGAGTTTTGAGGAACAAACTTTAAACTTGCCCACATTGACCTTCACAAAATTAACCTAGGCGGAATCGCAGTGTAAGCAAGATCGTAAAATTCTGCCCTCTACCGGAACTAATGATACAATTGAAAAAATCACTTTGTTCCGACTTGCTAAGAGCAGTGTACGTAACGCAGGGGCAAATTACAGCGAAGACTATCGGTGGTCCTCCAGGTGTTTCAAAGGTAGTCAAAGCTCACCCGAACCTTCCCAAGATAGCTGAAAATAATTAGACATTTTCCGAACACTTTGCTAGATCAACCAAACCTTCGTCACTCTGTACCGTTCGATTTAAGGAATGGTTATCATAATCCAGATCATACAGCCCTAAATCCATCTTTCAAAATTGACTGTGGCATTTTTGATGTAACTAAAAAGAAATCAAAAGACTATTACTCTCTTTTTGTCCGTAAAAAGGCTTGCTTTCCTAATGACGCCAGAAAATTAAAGTGTGAATTTAATTTAACTGATGAGGCACTGAAAAAAGCTTTTTCTCTTCCCCATTCGGTTGCTTTTGAGCCATATGTCAAGGCCTTTCAGTTCAAGATATTGAACTCTATACTCTACACGAATTCCAAATTACACAAAATCGGGTACATTGCAGATGATCTATGTTCTTTCTGCAAACGTGAATCAGAAACAATGCAGCATTTCTTTCATGGTTGCTCTTATTCAATTTCTTTCTGGAAAGATTTCGAAGTATATTACTTATCTTTGACAAAACAGCAGATACATCTTAATTTGAAGAATATATNTTGACTGCGGCCTTTTTGATGTAACTAAAAAGAAATCAAAAGACTATTACTCTCTTTTTGTCCGTAAAAAGGCTTGCTTTCCTAATAACGCGAGAAAAGTGTGAAATCAATCTAATTTAACTGATGAGGCACTGAAAAAAGCTTTTTCTCTTCCCCATTCAGTTGCTTTTGAGCCATATGTCAAGGCCTTTCAGTTCAAAATATTGAACTCTATACTCTACATGAATTCCAAATTACACAAAATCGGGTACATTGCAGATTATCTATGTTCTTTCTGCAAACGTGAATCAGAAACAATGCAGCATTCCTTTTATGATTGCTCTTATTCAATTTCTTTCTGGAAAGATTTCGAAGTATATAACTTATCTTTGACAAAACAGCAGATACATCTTAATTTGAAGGATATATTAATCGGTCTTCTAACACCGGAACTTACTTAATTATCTGTTATTTATAGGAAAAATTTATTCATGGGCGTGTAGAAGGAATAACGAACTTCTAAATATACGAGGTTTTAAATCAAAAGTCAAATTAAAGTATAAGACTGAAAAATACATCTGTACAAAAAATAATAATTTAGATATGTTTAGGAAGAAGTGGGCAATATAAATACTAGAAGTAGTTGAATAACTAAGAATATGTTGGGCTCAAATAGTAGGACTTTGCTATGTAAACTTGTTCCTAGGTGTGTTTATGTGAGTGAATGTGAATTAGTTGTGTTATACTGTAAGTCAGGCTGTTTATTATGTATAGTAAAGTAAAGTATTGTAATGAAAGTCGTGTCAATAGTTGTGTGCATTGCAATAAAAATAAAATAAAATAAAAAAAAATACAAATTGGGCCAATCAGTACTAACAAATATAAAATAGGCAATATCAGACAACAAAACAGTAGTATTTTTGGTGAACATGAGCAATGCGGGCAAAATCTGCAGGCAAATTTCGAACGAAGGGTCTGGAGCGAGTGTAGACTTGTGCGCTTCACACGCGAGGATCATGCTTACGCCGCTTCATGCCTTCAAGCTTATGGTGCTTCGCGCCTTCTGAATAAGGAAGAAAAAACAACTGTTTTGTAGTCTAGGGCAATATCATTTATAAAAGAAGTGCTTGTATTGGGTTACCATGTTTCCATTAATAGTAATCACTTAATAATAATTAACAGTGAATTTTTACTGGCTGAGTGAAATAAAATAAGTGAACAATGTTTTTTCTCACACACCTCTGGGACTTGGGTATAGGTCATGTGACCTAGGGGGCGGGCAGTTGTTTCTGTTGCATCTGCCATTACTGACTTTCCCACCGAAAAATTTTACGTTTTTATGTGCAATGCCAGTATAACATGCAAGCCTTGAACTTTCTTTGTCATTTCCAGTCGTAACACTATGATTTGTAATTAGCTTTGTAATTTGCTTTGATTTTGCAATAAAGGTCAGGTGGCAGCGGTCAGCTTGACATAGCTACCTGTGGTGTGTGAGAACAACAGTTACTATTGCCAGATGAGGTTGTTCAGAATATCGTGATGTGTCAGTTGGCAAGAAAAATAATTCATGTGAAAGACACTTGAAAATCACAATATTTTGCAATAAACCGAATTCAATTTAATATTGCCTTATCATTTGATCACCAAGTTTTCTTTCCATATTATTTAAATCACTCTCTGACAGCTCAGGGAGGCGATCTGCCATTTTTCACACAAGAGTGCATGAGCAGAATATTATTTGCAGCAAAACACATTTAGACAGTACTTCGCATGAGCATAACATTAATTCTAGGTAGTTATTTACGGGTCACGTGGTGGGCTTTCGGCCAATGAGAGGAACAAATAATACATAGAATGATAATTTTGTTTCTTGTCACAGAGAGATTCCTTACTATTAAGGATTCTGTGGTCTGTGCAGTGTTACAGCGAAATAGAAGTCCGTACACATTGTCCACTTTGCATGCATTACTAACCTAAATGCTAAAATATAATGATTATTGGTGTATACTTACAAGTATTACAGAACAAAGGATTGCTTGAATTAAAAGAGAGGAAAATCAGGATAACTTGCTTACAACTCAAAGTGTTTAAGGCCTGGGTCAAAGGATTTAACCGGTAAAAATAATTTATCAATTATTTCAGCACACAGTTAGGTTTTAATGTCCTGAACATTTTCAAGTAGAATTGGTGTCCCTGACAGGTCACATGACATGTAACATGATGTTTAGCGGTAAATAACCGTTATTGGTTAGGAGGAATTGGTGGTGGGTTTTGGTAATACCGGTATCATCAAATAAAAACACCTTTTTTTTCCGTGAAAAAAAAACCAAAAAACATGTTTTAGATGCAGGTGTCTGAATTATTTCTGTCCTCTCATGGTTAGAATGAATGTCCCTCTTTTTGCAGAAATATTTCATAGACCGGGTGAAAGGTAGTGTTTTTTTCAACAAAATTCCACTTTTGATCTTTTATATCTTCTAAACCTGAAATTAAGGAAGATCATTTCAAATGTAATAAGGTATATAATTTAAATTTGCATCGAAAATGCTCATTTATTGATCGATAGAATGAAAATTTGCCACCAATTTGCTGATTTACCAAATTTTAACAAAATGATTATGTGACACTTCACGTGATCAAACTAATATGTTAAGGCAAGGCAGGCCACCGAGTTTTATAATCAGGGAAAATTTCAGCTTGGTGAAACAAATATAACTAGAGATATAGCTTTACATTCCCGACCCAGGCCTTAAACTGTTTGAGAAGAAATCCTGAAGCTATTTACCACTCTGGCAAACTTACTTGACAAGCCATGCACGCAGTGGTGTCACTGGGGGCCAAGCATCAATGAAATTGGACAGGTGTGGACTATTTTTGATTATAATCCATCAAAGATTTTCGCTCGGGTGTGATAGGTCTAAACGCTTCACATGACTGAATATTCCCCAGAATATTCCCCAATTTATTTTCAAAACTGCACATGTTGCAAAAAATATTTGAAGGATAATAAACACAATAGCTTCCATTTGACTTTGAAAATATGCTTGGATATTTGTCTTTGGACATTATCTGTTCAAAGTTCACAGTTTTCCTCGAGCTATACTCTTGGAAAACTGTTCGCTCGTCGGAACAGATAATGTCTGCAGACAAAATTTGCGAGCATATTTTTGCGTCAAATGGAGGCTATTGTTTATATATATTTTAAATTTTGGAATCATCTTACTACTTGCTGAATAATGTACCTGATCTATATTGTGTTTCGTCTTTGCACTTGCATCAATGTATACACCATTGTGTTGTCTTGCTAACTGAAATGAAATGAAAATGTTAATTATATTGGTAACAGTAATTTCCTTTTCTAACGATCAATGGATCATGTAAACCAGGAATGCTTTGTATTATTTCAACCAAAAACTCCAGAACTATCCAAACAGGGGCAGATAGTACATTGCATGAATTATTTTTTGGGGGCGAAAGTTTGTGGAAAATTAAAAAAATTGTTGAATTTCCAAACTGTGAACCACTTAACCGACAATTCCAAAAATCCAAGGAAGAAAACCAAATAGAACAGTGTAACCTTGGTTTCAGCAATAATAATTGTTTAGCTAGGGAAACCTGCCCAAATATTACATGTAGAGAGGGGGTGGGTGGTAAGGTAGGGGCTGCCTGTCCAAACATTCCTCTTGAGGGAATGGCAATATCATATTCCTAATCACATCATGCTAAAAAAAACTGGGATAAGCTCTGGCAACAAGGCTGTGCTCTAGAAGTACCTGGGTGCCACAGGCCATTAACTATTGACTTCGGGCAACTTTGGGTGCCACAGGCCACAACTATTGACGTTGGGCAACTGGAAAAACTTGCTTTTTTCATATATGCTAAAGTGCCTATAACCACCCATTTTTTTAGTCCAAAACAATATTGATGTACATTCTTGATCATAATACTGAAAAAATATTTTGCTTTCGTTTAAAACCACGATTTTTTTTACATGAATTTTCAAAGTCATGAAAAAGCATGCCATAATGACAACCATTACCATGGCGAGGAACCAGTCAAAAGGATCTGGGTCTAGTGAATTTGTGCCATCATACAAGGAGATCATTCACACACGTATACTTGCTCACCTCAAGTTGTTGTAACATTATTCTGAGCAAGAAAATGCATATAAAACAGTGAGAGCCGATCAAGTTTTCATAGTCAGGTTTGATTGATTGGCGAGTCTCCAGTGAAGAATGAATACTGATGAAAGTATAATTACAAGGGCTTTGGTTCATTCGGGTTACAGAATTTGGTAGAATTCCAGGAAATTAATCTTGTCGATTCAAAATAATTATTATCTTTGTTTTAAATATAATTAAGTGACTCTGGTGACCACTGCTGATTTGAGTCAGAGTTTCAAATCTTCTCAGTCTGTTTACACGCACAACGTGAATAATCAAATCAAAACTTTGCACTTGTGTATAGTTTACTGATCTAAACATATACCCATCACAAAAATTAATACGTGGGCATGAAAAAATTGTCAAAACGATTCTGGTTTATTTAGTTCAGCTTTGCATTCCCTGTGGAATGAGTACGATACAAACTGGTGTTTACAAGCTCCTGGAAACAGTCTTCCAGAGTTTAGAATCTGATGAAGTTTGGATGATAAATGTGCAATACATCTAAACAACTATATATGTTTAAGATTGCCAAGAAAAGGTTATTTTATTGACATACTATGGAAATTCATCAGTACTCTTCAATAGCTACTCCTCTTCTTTTCAGTTCAAAACTAGTGCCAATATCCTTGTTTGACATCACTAGCTCCAGTCTCCATTGACCTCAGCCACGTGCTAAATAATCCAGACTTAAATAAATTCACAAAAAATTGTGGTTTTAAACAAAAATGAACCTATTTGTGGCATTGACACAAAGATTTAATCCTAATAAAAAATAATTGGGGGGGGGGGGGGTATAGGCACTTTAAGTGCTGGGCACCCAGAATTCGTGGTTAAGAACCTTCAGTGGACTCCTGGAAATTTTTCTTAGACCACAGTCTTAGGCAAAGTTCCTCAGTGGCCTTCAGGTGCACATATTAGGTCAGCTCTCAGATCTCCAAAGGGGCTCTGACATTTTTTGGAGAAAGCTTAAATGTACCCTCAGCTTGGTATGAAGTTAAATAATTTTACTTCTTTTGGGATTACTGTGTGTCGTTATTATATCCAATACAATCAGGAAAATGACATACATGTTCTCCAGACTCCTGTGAGACTTTCCTTCCCCATTCACTCATATCATTTTTATTTCCAACAAACACAAACTTGACATTCTCAGTTCCTGCAAACTAAAACCATCAGACAAATAAATGCTATTTCTAAATAGAACTTACTTTCATTTGGTTATCTACATTTACATATTAAGCACTTTTCCTAATGCTCTAACTTCCAAAAAGGCTAAAAACCATGAGACAGGGATCCATATTAGCAGCTGTCCAGTCATCAGTGACAACTAAAGAATCATAGAGATGACCAAAACAATACAGAAACTTGTCTGCTGGACGAGTTAAGTTTGACTCTACCAGAAAGGAAAAAAAAAAAAAAAAAAAACGTTTCTTAAATTTTCTTACATGTATGAGTTCCCTGCATTCTGACCACTTGTTTAATGTTATCCATTTGGATAACTTGTAGAAAACAGAGAAAGATTTACAGCTTTCTTTAGCAATAAAATAGTCATTTTGGTCCACCATCTTGGATGACGTGTGAATGATATCATTGCAGGCTCAATTTTCATTTTGTCAACTGCTGAACAGATGCTCCGTACTGCATCTGCATCTGCGAAAAACACAGGGCACGATCGCATCAGCTGTTTTGGTTGTTTTGTTCAGGATATCGCATTTAGTAATGTTAACACTTAGGAAAACCAAGCCAAATACCAGCAGGAAGAGCAAAAGCATTTTTTTTCAGCCTTCATGGCAGTCGAAGAGACCTTGGTTTTCATTTGTACCTGGTTTTTCTGTGTCTGCCGACAGCTGCAACTACAGACATGATGTACTGGGAAACTGGTAACATGAAAATAATAAAAAAGTAAACTTTCCCTTTAGGTGCTTTTCTGTTGCAACCCCTAGGATTTCATGGTACTGATTGTTTCCAGTACTGTGTCGTTACCGTGATTCAGAAATAACGGAACTGAAAAACTGTTTGCCATGGACATCTTCAGCCTTGCTGATCAAAATTTATTAATTAATAAAAGGTTTTTTTTTCTCTTTTAATTCTTAACAAGAAGAGTAATTCCTTTGATTAGCGCTCCAATTACATATGAAACTAAAACGTTGTTCTGCCTTATTGTATTCATCCCAAAGTGCATCGCATGGTATGTGAATGGGAAGTAATATTATGCCAGGGCAAGTATGTCATCTGGCATAGTACTTGCCCAGCCAATGACTTGGAGAAAAACATTATTATGGATCCCTGATGAGATAAGTGAGTGTTTTGGCAAATGCACTGCTATAAATCTGAAATTCAAAATGTGCTGGTTTCCAAACGAAGCACACTATTGAGCTTCAAAAATTGTAGACAGAATTTACCCCCTCTTATGCCTGATAAGGATAAAAACTCTGGAGGCTCTTCAGTTTTGGATTTAAGAAAATGATGACTCCATGCAAAAACAATCTATGGAAAGGTAATCAGTTCCAACCACTGATTAATAGTGAATATTTGAAAATTATTCCACGAGTAGTCGTTGGATATGAGATGGTAGATGGTGCTATGTGCCTCATTGGCTATTAACAATGATTTCATATCTAACAGGCAAGAGTAGAATAATTCCTTTATTAAAAATGGGGGCGAAAATACAGAAATCTAGACTAAACAAAAAATAAAAATGTCCCCAAAAACTCACACACATGCTTATCATATTTGCAGAGCATGGTATAATGGCTCATAACCCATGATGGCTAAGCCAATGAAAACTCTCGAATTGCATTATCCAAAGATCCAGTTTTTAATACTGATTATACCATAAAATTGAAAGGCGAAACACACTGTTCATGAATAATAATTATTACCTGTTTGACTGTTTTGATCCAGTGTTGCACATTAAAGTAGCTATCATCAGAAGTTACATCAAACACTACTATAATTCCCTAAAATAGGAAAAGCAAGTTAAAGCCGGCAAACGTTAATCACTAAAAAGCAGTCATGTCACAGTTGGGTGTACGAACCATGATACAATTAACATGGATTATTATTATCACCAAATGTGATGTTCCTGCTCCATGTTCCATGCAATATTTCTTAGGTTTGTCAGACCATACTTTGACTAGCTTATTTTTGGTTATAATCCTGTCCATATTTGCATGTAGTTTAGCTTGCTTGGTATATATGCCCTCTGGTGGGATGGTTGCCAAACTGATGAAGGTATTTTTCATGAAGTATACTGTCTAGCAATAAATAAATGCCGTGCAAAATTGTGCCTGCTTTGCGTATGGAAAAAATCTTTGAGTTACACCCCTGGGCTATCTCAAAATGTGTGACTTTTGTACTGCCCCCTTAAGAACTAGCCAGCATGGCTTCTGTAACAAGGGCGTAATACATACTTTCACATCTTCCTGCATATATGCAGCTGTGATTGTCCTGCAATTGTCATTACCAGGTGTGTCCCTGTTAACCAAGACATGCACGTGTTAAATAAATAGAAGATCCTGCTCAAAGCTGAAAACCCCAGGCATAGACAGACGCAAATGGATGCCTGCTACTATTAAAAAATTATTATACTATTCATCAAAAATTGGAGACAAATTAGCCTTAGAGGTCAATAAAATAACCAAGCCACAAAGTGTTGCAAGGTGTAAAAAGTATCTTTGTCGAAAGTAAAGTCATAACCTTCATGCATCTTCCATGCAAAACGACTGAATGAAAAATGACCCAAAGGTACTGTACCTACATGTAACTTAGGCAACTTTTGGCAATGTACATACATCACAACCCTGAAGGAGGGGAGGGGTACATAGATTAAAATATTACGGTCACATCTCCAACAGTGATGTTCCAGTTACAGGAGAACTTAGCCATTCAGCTAAATTTATGATGGCACCAGAGTTGATGAAGAGTCAAGTTTGGTTAGCAAGACTTTATATTATATATTTCTATGTTCCACAAAGTATGCTATTGGATAATGTGGCTAAATAGGACTCGCATAATTATTTAAACATTTGAAAAGATGTAAAAAAGACCACAAATACACTTCATTGTGTACCAGGGGGTGAGACTCTGACCTTCCCCTACAGAAGCTGACCCTTGTACCTCCCCAAGAAAAATATAGGTATTCAGTAGAAGTGCTGTATATAGGTAACACTCTTCTTTCAAAAAAATGCAAGCTGTTCTAACAGTCTTTAACTTTTTAAAATGGATTTTCTGGGTGGTTACGTCATGGTCTGAGCTGTGACAAAATGCTCCATGACTAGCTCGATCACTCCTCTCTCTTTGAAAACGCCTGGGATGTCCAATCGATGGAACCCATAATCAATGACAATCGTTATTAATCGATACCAATCGATATCAATTAATGGATTGATATTGATAATCGATGACCAATCGATGGCAAAGATTCGTGTGGTTATCCATTGGTATCGATTATCTATACCAATCGCTAGATAAATTGGTATCGATTGGTATTGATTGGTTGCAGATTGATGGAACCGGAATCGAAGCATAAAAGACACCACTTTGTACACAGTAATTGTAAACACATTTCATTTTAATGTTAACAGGAGAACAACACAGAAATATCTGCATGTAGTGGCCAAAGAGGATCCACAAGCTCGGACTGTAGGTGGCCGAGCTGTCCACGATGGTTCACAATTACTTTAAATACCTTTCCCCGTTCTCCCCTCTTCTTGTTTGCAGTTAACACTTCACCAACGTTCACCTCAAAATGGCAATGATGATACCTTTGACGATGCACCTTATATTCAAGAAAGCCTCTACCCAGACGTTTTGCATAGACATTATAATACGGAAAGGCAATGATGGGCAAGTGGGTAATTCAAGTACACGTGTAATGGGGTATATTCTTTCCACTGAGAAGACTGGGTCGGAATTTTTCTTACCAATTTCGTCCCCAAGGCTTCCTAAAAATGGCGGATAATCTGACAGGTAACATGCGTGAAGTCTGTTTGAGGTTGCTGAGCCAATCAATAGCAATCGATGAACGGTTTTTGTGTGGTTATTGATTGGTCATTGATTGGCTGATACCAATCGATACCAATTAACTAATTTCATCGATTGTTATTGATTGATCGATTCAATTTCCGATCATCGGTTTCCATCGATTGGATACCCCAGGAAATACGGGACGTGTTAAAATGATACCATGACCAACTTGTAAACAATGCGCTAAAATTATTTCAAACTTTCTTTTAGATATTCGATCTGCTCTAAATTAGCAAATTAAGCTTAAATTTAGTCTAGACGATCACTGAGAGAGAAAATTATCGACTTCAAGGAAAAATTACCGGATGAAAAGCTGTTAGTAATAAGTCTGTAACTGTTCTTATTAAATTCAACTTATATACTCTTGTGTTCGCTTTGCTTACCATATTTGAAGGTCTATGGATACTTTTCCCACTTGTACGATGGCATGCTTAATTTCTCGCTCTGCCAAACAATTGAACAACATTTAAGCTTAGTTTTACGTCAACTTTTAAAACCTCCCTTCTTTATCAAGCTGATGGTGCTGATACCAATTAAAGCATTTTGCATCTCACCTCGAGTTTGCACATAGCAAGGATTGAACCGTTCTCCTCTGTATGATGATAGAATAGTAGACTTCCCAACTCCACTATCTCCGATAAGCACGACTTTAGCAGTCTGTTTTGGTGGCATTCCTGTAGAAACCCTGCGAAAATTTCTACGCGCTTCAATGTTCGATCATTTCTTAGACAAGGTTTAGTGAGGTCCTGGGACTAGAGATTACTTGCAAAGACTTGTGGGAAGGCTCAAGTGACGAAAGGAAAAAAAAATTCCTTGATCGGGAACTAGCAAAGTAAACTATTTTTTAATCATCTTTTTACAGTAGCAGTTAAAGACGATGTCATGAATAAAGGTATTTTATTTAATTAGCAGCAGTCAGAATTCGATCAAACATAAGCTTACTTGAAATTTAGCCTCTTGAAAGTACTGGAAGGTCGGCTGTGACTTGCCTTCGCGTTGTTCCTAGCTTGCCTTTCGTGTTCGCTGTTTGAACTGATTTAACCAGCGGTTTCATTCTTCAAAAATTAGCAAAACGAGACACGAACGACAGAAACACATTTTTCCCACTTAAAAAATCTTACAAAAACTTGAGAGGCGACTATGAAAAATGTAAACAAACAAATCACGCCGCCAAGTCCCCGTCATATTCTATTCAAGTCAGAACTGAATCTGGTGTCACAAAGTAATCACCTGATTCCGTTCAGCAAAAGCACGTGATAGTTTGACTGAATCCCTATGGCTCCTCTGGGTTCTGCGTTGAAAAAAATTGTTTGACGAGTCTAAAGAACATTGACGAAACGCGAAAGTGGATAAGAAAAGATACAAGGTATGTGGTTGACCTCTGGCAGTTCCTCCGGGTTGGAAGGGTTCACGGCTACTACAAACTAAGGCACTCTCGGGTGCTTACCATTTAGCAAAAAAAATCCGGAAATTTCGGTTGAAAGTCAAATGGAACAGTAATTTTCCGGAAAATCCGTTCAGAAATTGTAGACTACCTTCAGAGATAGTCCTCTTTTTCCGTTCGGAACGGAACGGCGGAAATTTCCTTACCATTTGGTAAATTTTCCAGTTTCCAGCCTCTCATCAGCCGAAAACAATTACGAGAAATCGAATTGCAAATGGTAAGCGCCATCTCAGGTCGTTCGGTTGGTTTGCTGATTTTAGAAAAACCCTTACCATTATACAACTGTCATTCCCACCGGTTTATTCTGACAAATATGGTAAGCACCCTTCGTCTCGTTTTACTTACTCACGTGACTGTAAATCAACCAATAAGAGCGTGAACTCAGCGCGAACAAAATTCAACATCCTCAGAGTTATTTCTGGGGACAAACGGAAGTTTATGTCAATGCAGCCGGTAGGTAAGCTACATTTTGCTACTTTCAGCAAGGGTCTTTTAGCTATTTTCGCTATGTATTTTTTATGTTTGTGGTTCATGCCTACGATTTGCTGGCTGTTTTATCTCACCAAGATGATTTTGGTTATTCTTTATAGAAGAAAAGGAAATCTTCATCACGAAACCTGAAATATTTGTTGTGAACAGTATTTAATTTCACTTTTCTTGAATCGGGAAATCTCCAGTAATAATTTTATATGCTTTAAAATTTTATTAGGACTGAATATGTGAATATAAGTCTGCCTAATTACATCCTGCATTGCCATGCTGTAATTATATATTATTACAAGGAGTTTTGGCTGAAAATTTTGACAAGGTAGTAGAACGGCTATCGCATTTGAGTTTTTGTGCCCAATAAATGAGACTAGGTGCAGTTTTCATGGCTGGTTAGGGTGCGTGCAGCAACTACTGCAGCATTGATTGTTTATTTTTAATTTGATATTCCATAACTCTGGTTGCATTTATTCAATTTTCATTCTGAACAGATACAACTTTTCTTTAATATGAATGTTTCTTAGCTGCCTTATTTCTTATGTGCAGTTTTGTGCGATCACGTTGGTTTCCAGTAACAAGTATCCAATTACAAACTGTGGAAATTGGACACCTATGCCATTTTAAAAAATAATGCATCAAATGATAATCACTGTTATTTATGTCAAAATCTCACCTGCCACTGAAATTTCTAATACCAAGGAATGCGAACAACTTGACCGGATCTTGTAGAGGCCTTATGTGCTACTGAGCATGACAAGGCAGTGAGTGAGTGAGTGTGAGTGAGGTTTACAGGTTGAGGTCCAAAATGCCAGTATTTTAATACACAGGTATAGATGATAAATTTCTTATGTTTGTATCACATTTGACACAATCCTATGGCTGTATCCTTATTGTTAGGTCATACACAGAGGAGTCAGTCCTTGGGCAGCACTTGTTTGGTGATAAGAAATGGGTGATACTTGATGTAAAGTGAATGATGTCATCGCAGCCCAAAGATTATGACTTAAGTTACAAAGTTCTGCTGATTGGAGAATCAGCAGTTGGCAAATCATCTTTGATAAGATGCTATTCTAAGCCAGATCAACCTTTCACTTCAGCGCTTATGCCAACGTATGGTGAGTAGTTTTTATAGCTAATAAGTAACACTTGTGTTGACTTAATAGTCCATTTGAAAGTTGTCTGCTTAGTGACCTGGCCTTTAAATGGCAGTGCGGCTGAAGGTGACCTTGTCTTGATACAGACCTCCCTGGTTTTGTTGTGTGAAACCAAGTTGTTCTTATGCTAACTAATTGGCATTTAATGAGAAAAGTGGAGAGGTCTGTGTCAAAACAAGGTCACCTCCAGCCTTGCTTGCATTTATAGGCCAGGTAACTAAGCACACAACTGTAAAATGGCTTATTGCTGGTCTTCAGTTTCTATGATTGTGGACAAAAGTCCTTGGGACACTTAATATGTTATTTAACGAATTGTATGTGTTTTACTACTGAAGTTTGAGAAAAGGGCTGCATTACTGTTCCCCCTCGCCACCCAATACCATGTTGAAATGAGAAGAAATTGCAGGTAGTAGTTTCCAACATCGTATGGGGGGCGAGGTTAGGCAGGTGAAGTTGTATTTGCGTCTGGCGTGTGGGCAAAGTGCCAAAAGTGCAAATTTGTCCATGATTGTCTGTCGGGCAGTCCTTCTTGTGGATTGTACAGTAATGTATGGTCCTGAACCCTGAGTACAAGCATACTTTTTTCATACTTGATGGGCAGGTGAAGGTTTTTGGCAGGGGTATAAACTTTAATAAGATTCAAATTGCAGAATGAAGTACTGTCAATAAGAACTCAACTGAAATTGTAGTTTTAATTGTATATAATATTCTATTTTGAATTAATTTATTGCGTCTGTGAGCAATTTTTGGGGGCTAGTGAAAATGACTGTCAGGCTAATACAGGTATTATACTACTCCCCAACCTGTTCCTAAACAGGAAAACCATGGGGGACCTTTGTTAAGTAACCTTCTTTAACTTTGAAAATCTTTGTAATGAACCAATTCAAATGCACTTGAAATGCATCACTCACCTGTGAATACTTCATGAAAGTTGCAATCAAAATTCCAAAGTTTTTACTTTTTAACCCCTTTCCTCCAAGTAAGCATTTATTTCACATTATATATTTCAGAGAGGTAATGGCAAGGAACACATAATTTACTACCATACATTGTTTGCAATTCAACATTAGATGAACAGTGAAATAAAGTTTATTTAATAAAACTAGTCTTATACAAAACTAACTAACTAGATCGTAACTTGAAATTTACTTTAGCTTCATTGATAAATTCTTCGTTAATTTGTCATCAAAGCCTGGTTACCATACTCAAATAGTAGTACTGTAAGTAGCATTTGTAAACTGCATTGTATTGTAAGTAGTGTAAGTAGTTGTATTTACTGTTGTAAATAGTTATTACTGTAAAATTATTAGTAGTTGTATTACTGTTGTTAATTGGGTAAGTAGATGTACTAGTGTTGTAAGTAGTGTGAATCACGATTAAAGTAAAAAAAAAAAAAAACTCTAAGTTAGAGTAAATACTTAGTAAAATAATTGTTTCATTAATGTTTATTTAGTTTGTTTTTGTTTTTCTCTTATCAGGAATTGATTTTGTGAATGTCATTACCATTATGGATGGAGTTCGTGTCCGCCTACAAATATGGTTTGTGAAACTTATAATACGTCATTGAGACCTATTAAAACCCTATATTCCAAGAAACACGTAACTGTTAGGTTTTTAGGCAAAACATTTGATTGAGAGTAATAATTTTTGTAATACAGTACATGTATGTTTTGGCTTGTTTCCACCTAAGGGATACAGCAGGACAAGAGAGATTCAGAACCCTGACTGCCATGAACTTTAGGGGCACAAAGGTGAGTTGCAGTGTTGGTCAACAGTTGTTAACATTTAATATATATTTTTATAATAGCCTGTGGCAGGTTCCGGATTGGGTTATTGGACAAAAAAAAAAGGCAAGAGCAGTCTGGGGAGGAACAAATGGCGCAGAGACTCTCACCATGCTTTTGTGAGGAATGGAAAATGAGCTCATATTGAAAGAAATCTAAGTCAGTAAGCATGCATGTTTTCTCAAGCTAAGAAGAAATCTTCTTTCAAAACAGATTTGTAGCAAATCAAAATCATTCTACTGACAGAGCATTCTACAGCAGACTGCTGTTGGAGGGTTGTCCCAAGGTTTCCGCATTGCTGTTATGTATCTATATATGTAGTGGAATTGATTGGCCAATAAATCATTAAAAGTAGTAAATAATTATGATGTGGATAATACCTAGGTATAAATTCTTGTAAAGGACTGGCACTGAAGTTTATGACTGTATGTCAATTGTTACGTTTTCCAGGGTGTATTATTGGTTTATGACATTACAAATGCTCGCTCATTTGATCAGCTTCAATACTGGCTGAGGGCAATGAATAAGGTACTAACAGTATAATAAATTTTTATTAAATAAGTCTAATTTCCAACATTTGTTTGGGCAAGAATAAAAATATTGTCGACAAGCTTGGTGTACTTAACATAATAAGGCTGGAGAGATTGAGTGACGTGCGTGGGTGACCTGTTTTATTGTTAGTCCTGGTCCACGTGTACAATTGTCTTAAATGCATGATTTCATGCAAAAAGGGCATCGCTTTTTGGGCCGATTTTCATTTTTTACAGGTTAATTTTTGGTTAATTTTTGGCAGACTGACTTGTTTTGACATGAAAAGCGTCATTGCATAATTGTTTTTGATTTGCGCTTTGTTTTCGAGAAATAACGTATGCAAAAAAGCTCAGTTCTCTAAGCGGCATCTTTTGGAGCGAATCCTTCAAAGGTGGATTTTGACACGATGCAAACTTAAATGGTTCCTTTTAGCAGCTTTGACAGCACAGTTTTTTTTTTAAAAGATATTTTGATTTTTGAAAGTAGTAGAGAAATATAGACTGGAAAAAAAATCGGCTGACCTCGTATCAAACCGGTGTCCAACAAAACAAACTCGAATCCAGCCTGTTCAGTGCCTTATTCACTTGCGCTAACAAAGCAACGGTGAGCGATTAGCGTAATTATATGAATATTAAACCTTGTATCGGTTTGAACAACTAGCGGCAAGTGCCACGCTTCGGTTACTTCATCATTTAGCAAAACAAAAGGTTTCTTTTGTTTTTTGTTCAGCAAAAGATCTCCAAAAGAGGCCCTTGGAAAACTGAGTTTTTTGCACATGTTGTTTCTCCTAAACAGAGCGTAAACCAACAAAACAATTACGGAATAATGCTTTCGTGTCAAAACAAGTCAGTCTGTCAAAAATTAGCTCGATCCTGCAAAAAATGAAAATTGGCCCAAAAAGCGATATACGCCCTTTTTGCATGAAACCCTTCAATTGTAAAGTTTTCCACTAACAGGAACTTAAGGGGAGAATACTGACCTACTAGTCTTTCAATTCATGTATCAGGACCTCTCTATGCTTGATTTGTACTCTGGATAGTGGCGAAGACCCTGGAGGCTGGGCAGATATTCACCCAGTATAGCCCTCTTGTCCATTATTAGCCTCTGATAATCTTACTTTCAGAGCATGACTAAAATGTAGAACTGAAATGTAAGAAATTTATATAAGACATATCAGACCTCTCTCTCTCCTCTCCCCATCCATCACGTTGGGGGGAGCCATTATTGATATCCCTTTGCTGATATACAGTACATCATACACTTAATACTTTAAACAGTTTGGAGAGGCTCGTGCAAGTGTCGAGGTTGCCAAGTCACAACTAAAGTAGATTAAAATCAACAAATCTAAATTTTCTTTTGTAGCATGAGCTAATGTATGAAGAAGTAATCTTAGTGGCCAACAAATGTGATTTTGATGAGAAAAGGTGGGAAGTAGACACTCGTACTGGAGAGGAGGTAAATATTTACTACATGTAATTAAAAAATGTCTTGTAAAATAATATGAGTACTTACTGGTCTTTTTAATATTAATAGCAGGATTGATCAGTAGTTTTTTTTTTTTAGTCCCAGCCAGAAGTGATTGTCAAGAATAAATCCAGGATGTAATTGAAGTTAGAACTCTGACCTGCATATATCTTCAGGATTTCTCTAGTGTACTAAGAGTGTCCTTTTTTGTGCCCCTGTAGTTTGCAAGTCAGCTTGGTTTGAAGTTTTATCAAACAAGTGCAAAAACAAAGGAGAATGTTCAAGAGGTAAACAAACGTTTTGTGATATAAGAATTAATAACTTTCATTTCACCACACTTTAATTAAAATGTAATAAAAAATAGCAAGTGAAAAGAGATAAACCAGGAAGACCAGATCATGAATGAGTGTGTGGGAAGTGCATCTGCGTTATCAAAGATTGACTGAATTATGAACAACAACAACAAAAACTTTATTAAAGTGTCTGGGGATATTTAGCATTGCTGCTAATTGGGGACACAACATAAAGGAAATATAAATGTGAAAGTGAATAAGTACGTATGTACAAATTAGTACAATACAATCCATGAAATCACTTAGTGAATTTATCAAACTACATGCTATGCAACTAGAGATTAGCTATTAAACATTAATTTAAAACTTAATTTAAGGTTAGTGACTAGCTCCTATCATACATTAAATGCTATACTTCATTTTCAAAACCCCCCAAAAATCTAAAAAAATACCTAAATGGTGTGTGGGTCATCTGATTGTGTACTATAGGTATTCCAAGAACTTGCAAAAAACATGAAGTTTGCAAATCATCCTGATCTGGTAAGAATATTTTTTAAATTTTGCAGTGTGGTGGCTCAAGAGGTTAGCACTTCACTCCAGTTTCTATAGCACTGGCTCTCCCCTCAGGCTCTTCACTCAGTCCATTGTGCATGACACAAAAGAAAACTTATAAGATAAATAAATCGCTGCGCAAAATTCTTGGCCGATTTCGCATGACAATTTTTTTGCCCAGAGGTTTATTTGGGTTACACTCAATGGACTAAGCAAAAGAGGGACTGTACTTGTGGTCTAACTAATTTTTAAGTTATTTAGTATCTGCCAGTAGTAACTGCTCAATACTAGTAAGAGAACTGTTTTGAATTGAATTGCTGAGAATCATGGAAATTACATCTGAATTCTGATATACTGACCAGGAATGACAATAATTGACAGGTAGCTCCTGATTCAAGATTATCCTAGCAATCTATTATCTTTGCAATGCTAATGTCAAATGTCCATCAAGGTGTACTTCCCATTGATTGGTATTTGTCATTATGGATTAATTTTAGGTTGTCAATGACGATCAAGTCGGGGAGGATTTTGATATGGTAGATGGTGGGATAAGATTGCCATCATTTGATTACCCAAAAGACAAGAGACAGAGGAATTCTACCCGCTGCTGCTATACCAAATAATTCATCATTAGGTTAAAAATTATGTACTATGTCATGCTCAAATTAACTTTATTATAGGGGGTTGATAACAATTTCCTGCTTAAAAGATTTTTAATATTAATTTACAAAATAGCAGCTACTAGTATTGCGAACACTATTAGACATCTTCAAGAAACTTTCTTGAAGCAATCTGTTTTTTTTTTTGTTCACTCAATTCTTGGTGGCTTTTGTCTAGCTTCATCAGAGCTACAATGTAGAAAGGATTGTCAGTAACTGCTTGTATCACAACCCCGTGCTGTGGTCATTTTTAATGTTGAATCAGAGGTATGCAAGCATGAGGGAGCATTTGATAAGAGGAAACCGTTCTTCTGTGCTTATATTCCAGCACATGAGCTTGTAGCACTTGTAGGAACCTTTCTTCATGGTAGCTCTGATGAAGGTGGAAAGAAGCTACCGAACATTTAGTACAAAAGAAGAAAAAGAAGACTGATTGGTTTCAGAAAACATGTTACAAATTAGAGTTAACTAGCATATGAAGAATTGCATCAAGTGTGGCAAACACTTTATTTAAAAAAAATACTGCAATAAGTTTCCCCCTTAAAGTGCTACTATGATCAAAAAATTCACTCCCCTTTTTCCTTCAGATTTTAAAAGCGTGTTTGACACGTGATTGGCAAAATCTTGAGCTTTGAATTTTATCCAAAGGTTGTTTTCTTTGAGTGCAAGTTTAGGATTTTGAGTTTGTTTCAAGGAGTGCAAGTTTCTGCCATTTCACATTCAAGACTGACCGTTTGGACCTCAGAGGGTTGGATCGAGGATAAGATGATGTCAAAGACTCGCTAGTTTAAACTTGGAGCATGTAAACGCAGCTTATTGTGCATGCAAAACATGAGTTTAAAAGTCTGAAAGTTCAAAACTCCCGTGCTGCATATTAATTTAGGCACATGCCCACGCATTGCATTTTTAAACTAGTGAGTCTTTGACGTTGTCTTATCCTCGATCCAGCTCTCTCAAGATTTTAAAGTTAGTAATGGCAGACCATTAATTAGGAAAATTTCAGTCAAAATAAACAAGTGTCTTTTTGAAATGAAGGCTTAAAACTTCGGTCACTTAGTGGTTCAGTTATACAGTTTTGAAGTACAAAGAAAAAGTAGAATTGATTTTTGGTCACAGTAGCACTTTAATACTCAGAGGACATATATCATATATATCTGAAAATAATTGGGAATTCTATCTGTACCTAGGTTGTGCAAAGCATAACAATTTTATTGTCAAAGAGTCTATTAATGAAACAATATTGTTATTCAATTAATGGAGATTAAGATTATAGGACATATAGATCTCTACAACAGGGCTAGAAATATAATATCTTTTTCAACATAAATTAAGGAACATTTCTTCATATTTGTCAGTAGCTCTGATGACTTTTGGTAAGAACTATTGTAAAAACCCGTTTTTTTATATGGTTACAGAGTAAACAAGTCTTATGCTAATGTGAAAAACACTAAAGAATGCCCATACAGTATGAAAAAAAAAAAAGCCACAGGACATCCACAAGCAGTAAGTAACAAGGCACTAATCAAAATTAAGGTTTGAATGCTCTTGAAATACAGATGACAATGGAACAATTTAGAAAAAAAAGGTTGGAACTGAAGGAAATCTACTTTCTTTAAATAATTATCTGCATGAATTGTTTCTAAGCATAATATTCATTTGTACATGCGTACTGCATTATTGTTCATATTAGCATTTAATAATTCAATTTCAATATGGTGAGTGTGAAATCACTATATTGCATGAAATGTCCTGTGTTGTTTGAAAAAAAAAAGTAAAAGTTTGATGTCATGAAAAATAAAGTCTGGAACTTACTAAATAATTGAATAAATGTTTGACAAATTCTTTTTACAGAACTTACATTTAATAAGCTATTTTGTTCACACAGTTAATCTAATTTCTACATTAATTTTGAATGGAATATACTTGTTACTTCCGTGTCTGCCAACACTGTGGTCAAAGCTATTGTGTAACCAAACTACCTCAAACTGAAAATACTGTGTCATAATTTATACACAATGTTTTGTTGGATGACAAATGAAAAACTCTAACTTAAAGTAACATATATTTTACTAGTAAATGGAAGGTAAACTTGGTTGTCTTAATAAAGCCGGTAGCGGGCTAGTGTATACTTTTATTCATTACTGCATTAGTAAACACATATTTAAAGATTTGATGGTAATAAATATCGAACAGTGATCAAGTTTTATTTTCTTTCCTTTTATATTGTTTAAAATACAATTTTTAAAGGACAATGTGCTAAAAATATAGTTTTTAGAATCTGCTGTAGTTAGTAGTGTACAGTCTCACACTTTTGTGATCAGCAGTGTTGTTACATACATCTACATTATTATTAGTTCATGTTGTTTTAGTCAAATTTATTAACATCCTAACAGTTGTATACAAAAGCAGCAGATTTTGCTATTATCAATATATTTGTCTTGTTGTAAGTTTCAATTGGACCAGCCAAATCAAGAAACCTTGAGTGAGAAATTGAAATAAATAAAAGTTACAAGTATTCATCAATTCTTCATGAGTGCTAAAATATCTATGGTGTGGGATAGAATTAATGTTGAGCTGTCAAACAACACGGGATGTATACTCTGGTGAAGGATTGTCCTTTACATATTTTTGCAAATATGTGCACGTTAGTTTAACCTTGGCATCTTGGACAACAGCATAATCCAGTGCTGCCTAAAGAGGAATAAAACAGTTCTTTAGTAACAGAAATGGCACAATGATACGGAATTTCCTCACTGGAAAAAATTAAACAAAATTTGTAGTATGCACATTCCATGTAGAAACTTAAGATGATTTCCCCTGTAAGGACTCACCTTGGCCAGGTGACCAGCAATACCCTGCCCTCTGTATTCTGTAGGTACGCCGGTGTGGTACATGTTCATGGTATTATTCCCTTCATTTTCATATTGCAGCACAGCCTTGCCTAAAATGGTTTCAAGAAAAAATTACCAGTGACACTGTCTTACATGTGTGGCATCATGCTAAAAATACCGCAATCAAAGGCGAAGTGCCCAGTACCTCTTGTGACTACAATTTTGTCATCTCTGTTTTCTGTCTCTATTAAATTATAATGAGTGAAAATTTGGGAAAACGAGGAATGCTGTTGGAGCATGGGCTGCATGTGAGTTTCCAAAGTTTTTTTTTAGCATTCCCACAGTTTTTTTGAGTTCTCCCAAACTTTTGTGAGTGCTTCCAATATTCGATAGAAACACACCAACCTGTCAAGCAGTTTTCCAACAGTTCCCTGCATGTCAATATGAACTCGTTTCGTGCAATACTTGGATGACATTTGGTGCAGATGGATAGTAAATTGCATCTGCAACATCCCTTAAGAAAAAACTGCAAAAGGATATAATCGTTCCTCCCTTTTCCCTGGAAGATTTGATTCACTGCTTGGGGGATGGATGCCCTCNCCCCCCCCCTCACCATCATGTGATTTGGTAAGATGTCATCACCAATATAATTTCATCTGCTTTTAAAATGAATTTCCAATACCCGTAAAAAAGGGGATGCACATAAGCTTAAAAGAGAATGGCTCGTTATTCAGAACAAACAGTTCAAGTGAGCTTAATTCAAAACCTTTCAGATCTTCGGGGACTAGGATCTCAGTTCGATGTTGGTTTCAACTGCTACCTATTAAAGTATAAATTTACATACACGATTCTAGAATATATACCTTTCTCCAAAGCAATGTAAAATTCACGCCCCTTCACATTATGTTTAACCTCGTAGGAACTCATCGCAACGTAAGACGAAAATCGACGAAGAAGTTTCCTCATAACCTCATGGATCAAAATATCGCCACATTGAGTTGTACGGGAGAAACTGGAACCTAGAGAAACCGTCCCAGGATTCTTAGCAAGCGACGATGTTTTGAAATGTTTGGAATGACTTCCGGTTGTGTTCGGACAAAGCCTGAAGGCTTGGTTACATGAACTGGCAAGAATGGCGGATAAAGAACAGGGGAATCGCCAAATTTTCAGCCAATTTCTCCTTTGCTTACAAGGCCGTCTTCGTTGAGATGCCGGCGAATGTTTCGTCTAGTCTCTTAGTTACTTGTTATGCGCATTAAGCTGCTAGAATGGCGGCTATTTATGGCTTTGTACTGGCATGTTTTTGCTCTATTGACGTGTGGACCTTATTATAGCAATGGACTCGACCATAAAAGAACTTCTAACTCATCCAGTTTCACTTCATCATGGGCGATAAGGATACCAATGGAACATTATTCTAATATAACTGATCTTCATGCGCTAGCAGACCGCATCGCGGACGAGGCAGGCCTTGTCAACCGCGGCCAAATTGGAGGTCTTATTGGACATTACCTGTACATACATAATACTTTCTTTAACCAAAGCGGGATCAAAAGACATGAACTTGGAAAAGTGCAAAATGCTATCTCGGAGCATTTAGCGAATCATCCAGAAATCGAATGGTCAAGACAGGAAGTTGTTCGAATGCGCTTTCGGCGAAGCCTTCAATTCAAGGATCAGTATTTTCCGAGTCAGTGGCACTTGGTAAGAGTGAATTTCCTTATTATTAATTTATTTATTGAAATAGATCTAGAATATCTTGAATTGAAACTTTCAGTAAGTGAAATAATTGACATTTTCTTCAGCGTTTCTTTGATTTTTTTAATCTTAAATTGGCCACCGATCCTCTTGTTGAGTTTTTAAATTCGAGAATTCAGGGTCTTTTAATTAGTCACATTTCAAAAGGTCAATGACTTATCTCAATATTGAGTGTTACAATTAATTGGAGAGTGTCAATGACAATAGCTCGGCAGTTAAAGATACACTTACACCAGATGTGATTCAGATTTTGTTTTACAAGGCTGGTATATTAGCTTAAATATATTAAAAGAAGAACCATTGACAAAAGAAAGGGAACAAAATAAAAGGACAGCAAATCACAAACCTACAGGTTTTAATAAACTGATAAAATACAAGCTTAGGTGAGTTGACAGACATCTTGTTCTGTGATTAAAGACATATAGCTTGGCCGTGACAAATTAGAGTTCTGTTCTGGTTGTTACTTGCACACAGTAAAATGAGTTCATTAGGAGATGTATGAATGGATCTCTTAACCATCATCATTGTGGGATTTTTTAGCACACAACTTTGGCATTTTTAAGTGGTTTAGATATTAAAATAAACATATAACAACCAGTAGTATCAATTTTGTCACCTATTGATTTATTACAAAGCTATGATGTTACTGCACTAACCTACAAGGTTTCCAAATTGTTTGTAAATCTTTTGAGCCTTAGAGTATTCAGTAGTTCACCTAGTGTGATCATCTTGGTTTGGGTCAACTTCGAAAACACCAACAAGTGTTATTACACTAGCACATTTTGTGGCAAATAGGTTTCTTTCTTAACTCACAAACTGTTGATCATGGAGAAGTCTCCTTAAAGAGCATTCCCGATTTTGCTGAACAAAAAAATTATTTAGTTCCTGCTTCTTTCAGATTAGCGTAAGTTTACCAAAAATACTGAAAGTCATGAATTTTTCTAAATGGGTGATAAACACTACCCTAAGCTTGTAAAATGAGGACTGTCTAGCATCTTGGCAGGATCCCAGTAGCTATTTTACAAGCAATTAGGTGACATATTATTTTGCTATTAAGTCATAATTATAAATGAAGTTACCACCATGGATCAGTGTATTGCGTCCAAATTGTGGATTTCACGTTCAGAATAGACTATTTTCATATTTTCAGTATCAGTCTGGAACTAGCTTGCAACTGAGGCTTATGCCAGGACTCTTTTCAAATGCAAATGACGTTAATCTCTTTTTATGATATTCTACTGCATTAGCCTCCATTGCAAGCTAGTTCCAGTCCAAAACGGAGAATATGAAAATGGCCCATTCTTAGTGGCTGCATTTTTGTCACCTTAATTGCAGGACAATTTACGGTTCATAGGACATGATATTAATGTTACTGGTGTTTGGGAGAACAATATAACAGGACGTGGAATAGTTGTTTCGGTGATTGATGATGGTAAGTAAATTTCTATTAGATAGATATGTGAACCACCTTACAGGGCTCTAAGCTCAAGTTTCTCAGAAATCACCTTTTGGCAACCTCCTTTGGTAAAGTGGTCGTTGCTAAGACCACTCTAAGGGTTTGCCAGGAGGAACAATGTGTGTCACTTTACATGGATCTAATACTGCTGACCATGATGAGCCCATATTGAAATTGTTGGAAGAATGCCCGATACTGTTGTAAAGGATTTAGCAAATAAAATAAAATGAAAAAAAAAAAAAAAAATGGGTAAGGAAGACAAATGTGCAGAAATTATGGTGTACTTCCTTTGGCTTATTGATTATACTACAAAAAAACTTTGTTGATGAGCAATCATTTAACTTTTGTGCTGCACTAGTTGCCAAGTTGGTGACCTGTTTGGAAAATTTAATTGCCAAATGTTTTTTCACTCACTATTAATGATGACCAAAATGGTCGCAGCTTGGAGCACTACCTGAGGAGTAAATTGCTCAGATGACTGTGTAGTTAAACGTAAAGCCAGGTACCCATCTTGTTGGCAGGAGCTTATTCCACCTCTGTATTATGTGACAAGGAGTATATCTATCTGAGATTGTCTCACTAGTTACAGTCACCATGTATTCTCTGCCAACTGAAGTGAAATGAGTCAATGTACTTGCATGTCAGTATAACTTTTAAGTTTCTATGGTGAGCTCACCTGTTTAGTTAGCAATCTCTTCTTATTCTGCCTATCCAAGGTGTGGAATGGACCAATCCAGATATTCTTGACAACTACGTAAGTATGTAAGAATAGTCTCTTCAGTAAGTGCCTTGGTTTTCCTTCATCAAGAAAGAGTTCTCATGAAGACTTTTCAAATACCAATAATAAAAATAAAATAGAACCTAAATCAACAAATGAATCAAATTAATTGTTGGTTATAAAATGAGTGAATTTGATGATACATGAAAAGATGTACATGTACATAAAAAAAGAGCTGAAGTTAAAGATCTGAGTTTTGAAGTGTCTGCAGTGTATGTGAAGTGAATGATCACAGAGTCCGAAAGAGAGCTTAGTTTAATTTATAACAATAAAAGAACATTTAAACATGAATGTTTAAAAACTATAATTTAATATTTTGGTAATCAAAGAATGCAAGTGCTATGAAGGATTTGCACTAAGAGCTGGACAGTATATATTTTGAACATCTCTTGAAATTGCATGAGCCTTCAGGCAAGTGTGATGTAAAAAAAACAAATATCACAAGTAGTGTGTATAGATTCTTAATTGCTCAAGCTTTGGTATGTCAATTACTCATTTCATTATATAACAAAAAAAATCAAATTAACAATAGAAAACCTACATGTACATTCATATATGTATTTATTTAGTTTCCACTGAGATCAAATTAGAAATTGACAATGAATCTGCCTGCGCTGAGGTTATCATAATGAAGTAATCTCACAGTAATATGGTAAATGTTATTATTAATTATGTTAATAATAATTATAGTAAGATAATAATTCAAAGAAAAAGAGTACTTAAAATCATTTAAATCCATTGGTAACCATATCAACATCAATATAGTCTTCAGAAGGTAGCTGGGACATAAACTCTAATGATGACGATCCAATGCCGAGAGCAGATGAAGCTGGGCTAAACCATCATGGAACAAGGTAGTCAATAAGCATTGCTATTTTTCTGAATCACCATCTGATGCAAAAATGAAACCAATAATTCCAGTATCAAGATAAATTTTCCATGCTTGGTAAATGTGATACGACCATGTGAATAATATTTTGAAAAATTTAGAAAATAGCATGCCTGTTAATATACATAATTATTTTTTCATCCTGATTTAAACATGGGAGGAAGTAGAGTCTGAGAATTTTAGATTTAAAATAATGTATAAATTACAAAGCTGCACTCAGACTATTAACTACAGTGACTACTTTTGAGTTCTTCCAAACTAGCTTGTTTGCATCAGGCTGTGTAAAACTAAGATTAAAGCAGTTGTTTGTATTTCTTTTATTGTAACAATTTAACCACAATGATATAAAAATTAATGTGTTTACAAGTATGGAAATTGATACTAGCAATAAATTAGAACATGCATAATGTTACAAAAAAAAATTTAAAATATAATTTTAGCTCCATTCAAACATCATTGTTCAAATATTAGAACAGAACCATCCCTATTGATCAGATGTTAATCAAAATTACAATCAATGTATAATCATGTCCCATAGAGCTATAGTATTACTACTAAGATTTATTTGAAAACATGTTAAGTTATTTTTTTTTTGTATTTAATAATTGTTTTGATCTACAGGTGTGCTGGTGAGATTGCTGCTGTGCCTAACACATACTGTGCAGTTGGGGTTGCTTATGGCGCAAAAGTATCAGGTAATGAATTATTAATAGCTCCATAGATTTCCTCCATATTAATACCAGGGGGTAATTGACTGATGGTATTTTTTCCGTGACTGTTTTTAGGGGTACGGATCTTAGATGGTCCCATGACTGATAGCCTTGAGGCCATGGCATTCAACAGCAAGATGCACATCAATGACATATATAGCTGTAGGTCAGTATTGATAATGGAAGTAAAACTAATTATATTTAATAATTCATTAATACGATGGAACCCCATTAATCCAGTCACCAATGTGCCACACAAAGCTGGTAATATTAAGGGGGTTCTTTATGTACAAAAATGACTGACTGAGCATTTGTTTTGGCCAGAATAAAGTGTCCGTAATTACAAGGTTGTCGTAAGGTGGGGTACCACTGTAATTTATTTTGATTCAAATTTCATGTCATGCTAATATTGTTCTCCTCTTTAGTTACAAATTGTAAAGCACAGAATATATATTACAGTACTGTTATAAATAAATATTATTGCTACATATTGCTTCAAGTCAGTTATTTTTTTCAGCTGGGGACCTGACGACAATGGAAAGACTGTTGATGGGCCTCATCAATTGGCACAGGTTTGTGACTCATCACAGCTACAACTAGCTCATTAGAGGTGCAGGGGGTAAGGTTGAACTAGTTAAGGTCAATTGAGGTATTCTAAGGATTCACTTTTAAACATACAAATCTACAAGTCTTTACAAAAGCATGCAAATTAAAACCATGGAAAAATACTATTTTTATAGTAGCTTTGATTTGAAAAGTCGCATAGTTTTGTTTCTTTTTATGGGTTCTGAGATAAATAAACAGTGGGAGATGAGTATAAATAGTGGGGAGATGTATATATAAATGATAAAAAGTATTACTTTATGATTAGTGGACTGGGCTGGGCTCCTAACTTTTGAATTCAGGAAACCAAAGGGCTCCTGAAAAATTTCCTCAGGCAACAGCCTTGCTCTTGCTATGAAATACCACCTATAGTTTCTGGGCCAAACTCAAACAGTCACCATTTATTATATTACAACAAAACAAAACATTGGAAATCAAAAAGTCCCAACTGTCGGAAGGTAGACCAGTCAGCTACATTGTAGTTACAGAGGGTGACAGAGGAGTTGAACTCAAGGCTGCTGAGAACAAATCCATCTATTGACACATTGGAGATCTCCAGACACCCGGGGCTGCCGAGACATATTATTTTACTTTTGCACTGCACATTATTTTAACTTTTTACCATAAATTTATAATAATAGGCCATTTTTGTTTTTGTTTCATAGGCTGCCCTTGCCCATGGTGTTCTTGCTGGTAGGAAAGGCTATGGCAGTATTTTTGTGGTGGCTTCTGGTAATGGAGGACATTTCAAAGACAACTGTAACTTTGATGGATATGCCAACTCCATTTACACTGTTACAATAGGTTAGTGATCATTACTAACATTAATGTCTCTTTACAAAAATTACAGAAATTACTTTAAGCACATACATACAGACATACAGACAGAGAGACATACACACATACACACATACAGACATAGAGAGTTTGGGAGCATGAAGAAGACTATGTGCAGTAGCTGTAGGGCTTTGCACCTGTGCTTGGGCACCAGGGCAACAGTGACATTATTGTTAGTAACACTATATAGGCAACCAATGCATGCATAGAAGATTATACTTACAGAGTACTATGTAACTACAGCCCTTAACACACATTACAGGCTTATGGACAATATGTAAACATTCTTTTCACTCATGAACACATAAACTGCTCTTCCCCTGCTGAAAGAGAAGACTGAGATTCAATCAGAAAGTGCTTATAATGTCCCTGATGATGGCCTACATCTAGATGTGTGCTTTTTACAGACAAGTGGTTCTGCAGAACTAGTGCTACATATGGTTACTGGTGTACATGTACTTTGTCAGTAGTCACTTTATCCTAGTCTCTTTCAAGAGCATGGAGCCAGTCAAGAAAACAGTTTGGTGTGGATAGAGATGTCAGTTTACTTAGAATACATTTAAAAAGTTCCTATCTCAGCTCAGAGCTGTTCCTAGAAAGGTTTACTTTGATTCCATCAACCAAAATAATGTGTCCTCCTGTTCGTGCAGGTGCTGTAGACGAGTTAGGTGATATGCCATATTATGCAGAACACTGTGCTGCTATGCTGGCAGTCACATACAGCAGTGGACAAGGCATGCAGAGGAACATAGTAAGTGGTTATGTTACACATCCAAAGCGTACGTCTACTTACATTGGCACTCTGTGTATTAACAGTTTTAGTTTGATGTGGAGATCGACTATGTTTGTCCAGGTGAGGGACAGGAGATTGATTTTAATGTGAAACCACAAACTTGAGAAACATGTTCACTTCTGTTTACAGTCAAGATCAACGTATTGTTGTCACTAGATGGCAAAGCTTCTGTGAGAGAATAAATTTTTTGACATCTTTTTGACAAATTTGGGCAATTTAAACTTGCAAATCCAATTGCAAGAATTGTGGGAGGAAGAGATGTTAGAACACGGATGAAGTGAATTGAAACTGAACATTTGCTAAGGGTTAAATAGACCAGAACTACGTACCCTGTTGATGTTGATTTTAATGCTATTTTCCCAGGTGACAACTGATTGGCGTCTCGGCACAGGGACAGGCTGCACTGATAAACATACAGGCACTTCGGCTGCGGCGCCCTTAGCAGCTGGAATGATAGCTCTTATGTTACAGGCCAGGTAAGGCTTAAAACAACAACACAACTGATTGATTTAGCCAGGAATAAAGAAAGGAATACTAAGATAAAATTTAATGTATCTGCCCAAATTAAGAATTTTAGGGATTTTTTGATAGCATGGAAGAGTAGTAAAGTATTTACAATAGTTGAAAATAAATTATTGGAATTTTGTGAATTATCCTAAGCAGTGACAATGAAGCATACTAAGTATGCTTATTTTTGTCAGACCTTGTCTTTCATGGAGAGATGTTCAACATATTATTGCTATTACTGCTGTCAAGGTATGGAGAAATTACAGTTATGTTCTATTTTACTTTTTTTTTTCACGTTCCGTTTGTGATAACTAGTTAAATTGTTTCATTTGAAGGGACATAATTATGCGAAAATCTGGCAGTGAGAGATCTGACGACAAGCGTTATTCCATGAGTTACCGTAAATCCTCGAACTAGCGCCCGGGGCGCTTATTTCAAACACCAACAAGGAGGGGTGCTTTTTCGAGGGGGACGCTTATTTAATTTTTCTCAAATCGTGGCCTGACATCATAATTTTGTATACACAATCTGCGCGTAAACAACAACATAAGTTGTTCATCGATATAAAAAGCTGATCCTAAAGTTTAAATCGCGGCACCCTTAGTACTTGTAATTTTTTTCAAACTTGTTCACAAACTGAAACAATGTCCTAATCTAATATTACACGACGAAAACTATACATCCTTTGCTGTCTCATTACTCGTCCACAAAATGGGGGAAGGTTAGGGGGCGCTTATTCGTAGGGGGAGCTTATTCGAGGGGGGCGCTAATTCGATGATTTACGGTATTTCTTTACTGCATTCTTTTAGAGTTCGTACAAAAATGTTTGGATTAGAATAGTGGCATTGGAGTGAAATAACCCTTTTAATTACTAAGTATATCTTTGATCTGTCATGTTTATGGGCCATTTATTCTACCTGTTAGGTTAAGCTTTCTGTGCAAGACTTACCATATTAGTTGTGGTTAGTCAAACTATGCTCATGCTAGAACTGAACTGCCAGAAAAATTCCAAAGTTGGCATAATATTTGCCATAATGATCAAGTGGTAGACATTCAAGGCTACAAATTTGAAAACACCGCACAGTTTTTATCGCTGTGTTCCGCTGAGGGGTGTCGGGTTGCTTCCTTTGGCAACACACCCGACCAAACATTTTCGCTCCCTTTTTGAGTACACGTGTCAATCACGTGAAGGGTCGTGAGGCGTTTCACTTTCTTTCGCCCTCTTCCGCCATGGTTTCACGAAAGTAATGGGCCGGAGTGAGTCGCCTCTGTTCTTATTCTCATGTACAAAAGAAACAAAGATAACGGAAGTTTTTTTTTTCTTTTTTTCCAGCATGATGTAGATGACAGTGATTACTACACAAACGGAGCTGGGTATCACCATAGTCATAAATATGGATTTGGACTTCTGGACTCCTGGCGACTGGTTAACACCGCTAAGGTAAATGTTGGATGCTTTTGAAAAGTTGTGCTGATAGCTGCAAGTACTCTATAGAACGGTCATGAATTAACCCTGTGTAACAAATAATTTCTGTTTGTTTGCTCCAGGTCTGGGAGGCAGCACCTTGGATGACGTCATGGTCAACACCTGTAATTCATGTTGGCAAACAAATCCCGTTATCAACCAATCAACTGATTGAAAAGTACTACGGTATGTCGGCCAAATGGGGAATGTCGTCATGCTGACGTCATTGTTTTTAACTTTTTTTATCAGCATGCCACCTTTATGTCGAGAATGCATCATAGTATAGAGATGCAAACTGACCTTAAACATGTAAAGAGCTTGTGAAACTTCGTAGTTTACAAAATTTTAAGTCTTTTGGGTGTAATAATCCCAAGTAATGAAGATATATTAGTTTTCAGAAAATGAAAAATCTTTGGGTAGCAAAAGCATCATACATTTTTTAAATTTCTTAGTTTTCAAGTCCGCTTTACACAAAGAGTATTTAATAAATCGGGCTCAAATTTCTTGGGACAGATAATCGTGCCACTACCTTTCAATATTGGGATTTGACATTTGATATTTTTGTAGCTCGTCCGAGATTGAAGGGCGCAAGTTATGCTGATGAGACAAATATCGTAAACAAAGATTCTCCAGACCTGTAATTTGCTGGGTCAATCAATCAAACAGACTGACAAACAGGCAGCTAATAGTGCACGCGATAACAGAGATATCTGCCCAGAGGAGCGTCGAAAAATCCTTCCTTCCTTGCATACACACATGCATACACTAACAGTATGTTCATTAACGCCTCGTTGCGTATCTCTAAAAACATGGAGGTACAGATGATTCTGACATGACTGCTTTCATTTTCAGTCTCTAAAGACAAAGTTACTGAATTGGTTACTTTAGAGCACGTGACGGTCACCGTAAGTAGAGATTTCTGTTTATCCTTTTAAAAGAAAGCCTCAATGTGTCCCAACATTTTATCCGATAGAGCAGCCTTCATACCTTTTTCCAAAAGGGGAAAGGTTAGTGGACAAGTCAAAATTGATTTCTGACAATTGTTTCTTCTCGAAGACTTCGAAACGATATCTAATGGCAAAGCTTAAAGATCGAAAAATCTAAGCCAATGATGATATTTAAATCGTAAGTCGTAAGTCTGCACATGTTTGCTTCGGTTTAATCTCCGATGATCTCCATAGATTAAATGGCAGCTTGCTCGGTAAACGCGCTTTAAGACTGAAGTACATTCATTCTCAGCTCTTTTAGCTTAATTGAATTGTTTCAAATTCCATGCTCTCCTTTAAATATTTCTACCATCCTTTTCAAGGTGAACCTTAAGCACCGACGCCGTGGAAACTTGATGGTTAGTTTGGTGTCTGCTGAAGGAACAACCTCGAAACTGGCTACAGCAAGACAACACGACAGGTAAAGCCAACTTTGCGCTTATTGCTGTTGAGTTACGATGTTAGCTTGACATGGTGTTGTTGGTAAGAAGTTGCAAACTCTGCAACATGATTCGAGAGCTAGCTTGACAAACGGTAATTAACTGTAAGTTATTCTTGGACTGTGAATGAAAATACACACATCAAACATACACACTGCTAAGATTGTGTCTCATCAAAATCCCTAGCTGACTAGCAAGGTCAATACAAACCAGGAGTGAATGGCAGGGG